GGGTCCTTTGGACCTTAAACCCTAAATCCTAAGCCCAAACCCTAAACCCTAAACCCTAAACCCAAACCCTAAACCCTAAACCGTGTGGGGTGAAAGGTTTCGCTCCGAAGGCTTCGACCCTACGACCCCTGGCCTAAACCTCGAAACCCTGAGCCCCGAACCCTAAACCAAAAGAAATAAAAAAGAACCCTAAACCCGAAACCCTCAGCCCTGGTTTAGGGTTTAGGGTTTAAGGCCAAAGTATAGGGAGGGGTTAGGGTAGCCCCGAACCCTAAACTGACCTAAGACCCTAAGTCTGACGACCTTGCACCCACGAACTGAAGGGCTGGGCCCACTTCCAGTCAATACTAGCCTCGTGGTTTGCGAAACCTAAAGCCCTGAACCCTAAAGTTGTAGTATCCTTAACAAAAGGGGGTTCAAGGGGGGTATGTAGCCTAGTGATCCCTAATTCTCCCTAGTACTCCCTAAGGTTCCCTTACAGTCCCCTAAGGATTCCTTATACCCTCCCCCCTTGAACCACCCTCCCTTAAGGATCCTATAATAAAGCCCTCCTAAACCCTAAAGAATGAAACTGCAACTCCCGAGGCCGGCGCGCGGCGGCTGCTGCAGGCCCCTGCGATGAGATGGTGTAATGCCAGTAATCGTATTCAATACAAAGGCAAGAAGCATACTACGATTAAAGATAGTACTAGCAGCCATACTAGTAAGATTAACAGTAGTTGCAACAATAACAACAACAGTCAAAGCAAAATAAGCGATACCAGTAAATAGTCCTTACTCGATTTCATTACGGTCGATGTTAATTACGATTTTGCGTGATACTCCTGGGCCCTACACCCTAGCCCCTCATCTCCTCAAGCACCAGTATTGAACCTGGGTTTGGAGTACCATACTCGAATACTTTTTGTGGTGCCTGCTCCTTAAAGGAACCATTATGAAATAGACGTCTATACTATACTGGTTTTTGGTGCCTCTTCCTTAAATTACAGGAACCATTATGAAATAAAAGTCTATACTTTTTTCTCCCTGTTTACTTCAAAGTCCAGTGCATACTCCGATTCCTGTAGTAGGCGGTGAAGGGTGGATCTGGTTTCCGGGGACCGGGGCTATCAGTCTCACGGTACGACTGCAAGAGTTGGGTTTAGGGGTTTAGGGTTGAGAGTTTATGGTTGAGGGGTTTTGGTTTAGTGGTTTAGGGTTTAGGGTTGGGGAGATAATCCATTTTTTGTGGCTGCTGGGGTTTAAGGGAGCACCTCCTCGAAGCCTTTCATGGCTTCAGCCACAGTGCTGCTATGACTATCCCTAGTTGGTTTTTGTTCGGGTACGGCCCCCTCTCAGTAACAGTTGGATAAAAGCTTGCTGCCTCCATCGCCGTTAACGTTCAAGATGCGGTTCGTGCTCCGCGTGTTGCGGATCCTGAGAGAAAGCCGGAGGCTTGTGCAGCGTTGAGCTTGATTGTTCTGGCTAGCGTTCTCAGGGGTGACGATGCCACTGGCCACACTCCTGACCTCTGCAGTGCGGACCCTATGAGTCGGGTTTTCAGTGACGCGGCGGAGGTTATCAGCTATGTGGCCACCGTTCCTGAGGAGACAGTGCCAGACGAGCCGGACAGAGATGCCAAACGACAGCGTCGTTGACGTGCGGTGCCCTTCGCCGCGACAACTTGCAGGCAATTGCCAGGACTTCGCCTTAGGGTATCATCACTTTTCGTATGATCAGTCACCCCTAACCCTGAATCCCTAAATCACCAAGCCTAAAACCATTGATTCACAACCCCCCCCCCCCCCCCGATCCACAGAGTCCAACACCCTCGGGGCAGATATATCCCTTAGGACCCAGAGTAGGCCCTTATTCCCTTTTTTTTTGTTTAGGTTCCCTTATAACCCCCTTCAAACCAAAAAGGGCACCCTTTTTCTTCCTAGGTTACTCTTGGGTTTAGTCCCTTAAATCACAAAAAGACTTGGGAGTTTACTTCACCATTTGCGGTCGGAGTAATTAGTATTACTCTCGTTCTCGGTTGCTGATCATTTTTCTAGTACTGTATTCACTAGAATAGAACCCTATTCCTAGCGTAAAGGCCCCTACCACTACCCTACAACATGCGCCAAAATCCTATTCTAATTGCTTCTAATTCTGAATCACCACCCCCATAGTCTTAAAGGGCCGTGTACTTTCCCAAATCATAATCGTAGTTCCTACGATGGAAGAAACCCTACATTCTACTATCTAGCTACTTAGGACCGTTAGGACCCTTAAATCCTAAACCCTTGTAGTACCCTTGTAGAAACCCTTAAACTAGGATGCCCAGCACTACCCTTCTTCCCTTTTCGTAGTCCTAGGTTCCTTATAAAGTTACCCAATACCACAAAGGGAGCCCTTTTTGTTCCTGGGTTACTGAGCCCCTAAACCCTAAACCCTAAACCCTGAACCCTGAACCCTAAACCCTAAAACCTAAACCCTAAGGGACTCCGGGGTCCGTGCCGAGCCACATAGCCGAGGAGACCGGTCAGCTTCCCAGCACCGGAGAGGCGCGGGAGGGTTTTAGGGTTTTAGGGTTTAGGGTTTTAGGCTTTAGGGTTTATATAGGGTTTAGGGTTTTAGGGGTTTAGGGTTTTAGGGTTTATATAGGGTTTAGGGTTTTAGGGTTTAGGGTTTTAGGGTTTATATAGGGTTTAGGGTTTTGGGGGTTTAGGGTTTAGGGTTTTAGGGCTTGGGGTTGTTTCTTTCGTGCATAGGGCTTCTTTTGACAGGTCCTTTAAGGGTACTGTAAGGGTTCCTTTAGGGGTTTTCATAGGGCTCCTGTAAGGGTACGGTACGGGTTGCTTATAGATTTTTCAAGGGATTCCGATATGTTCCTGTAAAGGTACTGTCAGCTGTGCTTTAAGGGGTTTGGGGCTTGCGGGATTTGGGCTGCCGGTCGCCTTGGGGGGAGTTTGGGGTTCCAGGCTTTGACGGTTGAGTTTTAGTGTTCTTTTCTAGGTTTAGGGTCTATATATATAATATATAGATATAGATATAGATATAGATATAGATATAGGCGTATATAGGTTTTTGTCTTTTCCGGGCGTTGAGCTTCTAGGTGTTTTACCGAGGTGGGGCCTGTTGATGCTTGTTCTGGTTTCGGGTTCATAGCAAGCTCTAATCAAGGTTTCCCGCAGGGTTTCATAAGCAGGATACAGTACTGACCAGTCAGCAGGCTTTCGAGGGTTTTTGATCAAAACTCAGGACTTATTATGGCTCAGGGTTTTCCGCTTTCGCCTTGAATTTAGGGTTTAGGGTTCCTTCAAAGGGGTCCATAAGGGCTACTACAAGGGCTATGATAGCAGTATCATGGCCTTGTAATGGACATCTGCCACATTCGTCGAATGCAGCACGCTTCTCTAATGGCCTGAATGTCCAGCAGACAGAACGAAGCTGCCTCTGCCCTTCTGGAAGTGGAGGGTTGAGGGTTGAGGGTTTAGGGGCGGCTTTTCACAATTGTCATCACTCAGCTTGCAACGAATGAATTTGCTGAAGCTGTCTTTGTGTTGTTTCATTTCTGCTGCTTGAATATTTTGGCACCGCCCCAACCTCGACTCCAAAGCATGCGCACCAAACGCCTGCAAACGCGAACCTAGTCTTCTTCGATCCCCAATCCCCAACCTTTAAACCTTTTGGGTTCTTATACCTTAGTACGAATCGGAAAGTTTAGCCTTCTATTTCTGTGGCTCCTTGGTAAGTAATTCTCAACACACCCAACGAGAAACCGTAAAAGCTAAACACTTACTTTAAACTACTAAACCTTCTCTTTTGGTAGGTTCTTATTATGAGCCCTAATATGAAATTTAAAGGGACCGTACAAAAACTAGGTTTTGGTAGGCTGAGGTATTCCAAGCCCCTGAACCCGACAACCCCAGCATTCTGCAGTTGTTCAGCCCCTATGTGGAGAGTGAGTTCAGCTTGGAGGCAAAGCAGGTACACAGCAGGCGCCAGGGCAGTGCAGGGTTTAGGGGTTTAGGGCTTAGGGTTTGCAGGGTTTAGGGTTTAGGATTAAGACCAGCTTTGTGGGATGTTGTCTGGAAGTCGAGGATGTTGGCTGATGTTTTAACCACAGGGGCCTGCACCACATGGGTAGTTTTCAAAATTATGGTCCCTTTTTGGGTCCCTAATATGGTACGGCACGTAATATTTAGGGTACCCAAAAAGGGACCATAATTTTGACAACCACCCACATGAGTTATGTTATATTGTGTTGGATGAACTAACGTGAAGGTTCGTGTCCTCATCGGCTCGTAAACCGCAAACCTGTGATCATGCTGGGGTGAAGGAGTATCGATGCCTATATGGTACGGCACGTAATATTTAAGGTACCCAATAAGGGACCATGATTTTGACAACCACCCACATGAGTTATGCCATATTGTGTTGGATGAACTAACGTGAAGGTTCGTGTCCTCATCGGCTCGTAAACCTTAAACCTGTGATCATGCTGGGGTGAAGGAGTATCGATGCCTTGGCATTTTTGGTGAAGTTTCGGGGAATTATAGGGGCCTAAGTAACTACCTATACTATTTTGGTGGTTCATTATTATAAGCCTAGTAGAATGGGCCCCAAGACCCTATTCTGCTTATTAAGGCCCCTATATTAGCCCTCCACTCCCAAACCAAATTTTAGCTGCTAAGCCCGAGAAACCTAGCGCTCAACCCTATGCCTAAAGCCCTGAAGCCCCGAACTCACGACCCAGAATCTCTTGAGGAGCAGATTCCAGCTGTCAAGTGCCCTTGTTCAGGGCTTGGGTTTTGCGGTTGTGGCTTAAGGCTTGGGGTTTTGGCGTTGGCAACCCTAAACTTCCCTAAACCCTAAACCCTATAAACCCTAGGTCCTGAATCCACCCTGGCTGCAGCCATCCGTTCAGCCTTCATCCGTCCCGAAAGCCCCAAAACATCCGACGAGGAGCAGCGAAGTTCACCAAACAGCAGTAAATGCAAAACAACGTAACGGAAGTTCAATTAGCCTAAATAATGTGTGGTTCTGGCAGCATGTCGAAGCCCGTCGTTCTTCATCTACTGGGATCGGCAGCCAGCGACTACTACGAAGGCGTCTCTGTTCTTTACGCCGTCGCCTGGCTTTTTGGTTTGAGGTTCACGGTTCTAGGGTTTTGGTTTCCAAGTCTGGTGCTTCAGAGGATCTGTGCATATGGGTAGTTTTTGCTTACAAACGCGCTCCACTGCACGCACCCCGCCACTTAGCAGTGCCTCACCGAGACGTTCCATGAAACTCCTACGACTCCTTCAATTCCAAGGAGCAGTGTCTTCAAGAGGCATTGAAGCACCAGACCTATGACAACCTTCCTTGCTTCTCGGCGAAGAAAGCAAACACTCGGAGTTACTGTACATGGTTTAGGGGTTAGTAGATTTGGGGTCTGGGGGTTTGGGGTTTTAGGACTTTGCCCTTCGACCCCTACACCCTAAAACCGTAAAGCCCTAAACCCTAAACCCTACGCTTTAAGGCTTAAAGCGTTTGAGGCAGCGATTGCTTTCAGCGCCTTAAGGGTTCGGGTTTGGGGGTTCAGGATTTAAACGTTCAGGGTTTGGGGTAGGATTTAGGGTATGGTTTAGGGGGTTAGGGTACGGGGTGCACTGTTGCTTCAAGGTGTAATTGGGGTCTATAAGGGTTACATATCGGGTTTAAACCCTAGACCCCCGAAACCCAAACTCAGAGCGCTGAGGCAAGGTCCATGCAGATGGCACCTGGAGCTTTCCCAAGGCCAGCGGGCTTTCCTTAGATCCCCAATACTCAACCTTTCAACTTTCTGGGTTCTTATAGCTTCGTAGGAATCGGAAAGTTTAACGTTTGATTTCTGTGGCTTTTTGTGGACGAGATTCAGGATTGTGGGGATATAGATTTTGGGTTTCGAGACTGGAAGCCTCGGGTTTTGAAGGGTGTAGGGTGTAGGGTTTTGGGTTGAGGGTGCCCGCTGTTGGGGTGAGACGTCTTAAGAAATAGCAAATCTGACTGTGTGGTGTTCACTTGTGAGGTTTGTTGCTCAAATCACCTTCTGATGTGATGTCGCAGCGCTCACCTGAGCACGCAGGGAGTAGTTACGGGTAATAAGTTTATGCGTTGATTGCGGGTTGCACTTTTGTCTCATTTCGTGTTCCCTAAACCCTAAACCCAGGTTTTCTAAAGCAGTTGCCTCTTCCGGTTAAGGGTCAGGGATGGGAGTTTATTTGCCGAATGTCGGGATTGAAGGTTGTAAGACGAGGCGTATCATATAGGGGCCTTAATAATTCGAGTAGGGTTTTGGGCCCATTATACTATAACTATAATAAGGAACCTGCAAAATAGTCTAGGCACCTATGTAGGCCCCCTCTTTAGGAGTGAGTTCTCCCTGCCTGTCCTGTCGTTCTCCTTCGGCCTTGTTTAGGTAGTATTATGAGGGAGACCTCTTAAAGGGTACCCCTTCTGAACCTTACTTCTGGCTCTCTTAGAAGGGCCTTAGAGAGGGTTATATCTTCAAGGGACCCCCTAATCCTAACTCCCATTGTTGCGCCCCAGGATCTGTCGAAGGAGTCCATGGACGAAGCCGAGAAGATGACCACAGACAAGGCCCAGTGAAGCGGACCGGTGAAAAGTTTAGGGTTCAGGCCTTTGGGGTGTAGGGTTTAGGGATTTAGGGTTTACCTTAACCCTGAATAGCCTACCCTTTAGGGTTCCTCATTATGATTTCTTGATATAAGTCCTTAAAAATGTAGGTTCTTCGGGGTTAAGGTAGGCCTTAGGGGTTTAGAGTTTGGGGTTTCGTTTCTTTGCTCGTTCGGTTGTGAAGCAACAGCGGTTGGGTGTATGTGCAAGATGTTGGCACGCTTCCGTGCTTCAGACGTGGCGGATCTCAGCAGGGTAGAGGGTTCTGCTAGCTGCACCGATTGTTGCGGAGCATCGTTTGTATTGGTTTGAGGGCTCCGCAGTAGATTCAGAAATCCTCAAGCTTGTTGTGAGAATCGTGTAGTTTTTGCAAGGCCGGAGCGGCCCACACTCAGAGACGGGCATCCTCAAAGCAGATATGGGCAACACAGAATCGCATGACTATCTACCTAAGTTTCGTGTGGTTTCGAGCAGAGCTGCTCAGAGGAGGAAAAGCACTTCAAGAGAGAGTCCTCGCGTGTGAGCCCCTTGTGAGTCGACTTGTTGTATGGTTTAGATATCGAGAGAAACGTCCATGGAGGATGCATGAATGGGTTCTCTTTTCAGTCAAGTAGGTTGTCTTTAGGGGCCAGTGCGCATGGATGGTTAAGAGACTCGCTTGAACAATAGGGTTTCCTTCTTGTCCTGACGGTAATGACAGCCAAACATCCTCAGCCCATAACCTTAAAACCCTAAGCCCTAAACCCGAAGTCCCAAACCACCCTAAGCCCTAGAATGTAACGCCGTCCAGCCTAAAGTCAGAGCTTGTGGAGGCGATCGCCAAGATCGCAGAGCTTCAGCCGGGGGCCGTGGTTCCGCATATGCAACTAGCCAGGGTTATTTTTTTTATGGTTTAGGGGCCGTTCAGGGGTGGGGCTCTTATACCCCGGCTGCAAAGCCCTAAGGTAAAAGCCAGAAAGTTGGAATATGATTATCCTAACCGTTCTATGGTAAATTACAGGGTATCCTACCATGAAACCATATTCCAACTTTCTGGAGTTCCCTGTAAGCCCAAGACTCTAAATCCTAATCCTTAAGCCTTAAGCGCCGAAGGGTTTCAGGAACAGGAGTCTCTGGAATGCAGGTGTCGGAGATTTGGGGCGAGTTTGTGTGCGTGTTAGGTTCTTCTGAAGAGCCTCGCGCCCCCAAGCCCCACTCCCTAGAATCCTGTAAGCCATCCTTCCTTGGCCTGCCCTAACCCTGAACCTTCAACCTAGAACCCTAAAGCCTGATGGGCATCAGGCGGAAAGCATAGGGAAGTTATGGAGCGAAAGCAGGACTACCCAGAGGCCCCATAGTAGTGCCTTTTGGGGGTTCATATATAGAATCCTATAAGGTAATCCCCACAAGGAACTGCTATGGGGCCTCTGGGTAGTAGTACCGCCCTTCCATCACAAGACATGAGATCGCTGACAGCTTGTGGCTCTTACTCAGAGCAGTAATATCCAAAGTGATGACCTCTCTTTGTCATAGTTGCGTAACATTTGTTTGGGTACTTAAACCCAATAAGGAATAATCCCTGAAATTTGTAATCCTATCCCAACCATGAACTGGTTCTGAGTACGTATGAAAACAGGCACCAGAATTGCCAGAGTAAGAGCGCTTGTCGTTGCAGTCATATGCTGGATGTGGTGCACAGGAGTGCCTGCAGGGTGGACCTGAAAACATACACTGAACTACCATAACCGACTCTTGTGCAGGTTATTACCTGCCCTAAACTACGAGTCGAGGAACCCTACCAAACCCTGAACCCTTAAACCCGAAACCCCGAAAGCCCTAAACCCTAGACAAAAAACCAAAAACCCAAAACCCTACACCCCTAACCCGCTAAACCCTAATGTAAGGCAGACCATAGGCTAGAAATCCTGTACCACTTCACAGACGTCGATTGCTGAAAGCCAGATGTTCCTAAGACGCACCCAACAAATCGGGTTTATGGTTTAGGGGTTTGGGGCCCACCCAAAGCTAAACATGATATCTTCAAGTCTGCATCTTTGATACCCATGTGTTTGCGGGGAGAACCGTACCTGGAAATATAGACACCACCCATTATTGTAGCTCTAAGTGGCAACTAGGGAAACTTTTTAATTTCCCTTATGGTTCCTATAGAGGTACCTATTCATAAGTACTTTTCAGAGCCCCCAAACTACAACCCAAGAGTTTATTTGATTCGTGAAGCCCCAACTCTGCGTCGATTCGGGGGAACTTTGGGCAATCGGGTCCTTCCCTAGAAAGACCCGGCATCCTTGAACTTAGACCCTCAATCGTAAGCCCAGGTTCAGGCCGTTGAGTCCCCGGCTCACGGTTTAGGGCTTATCATAGGGATCCTTAGGGGTGTAGGGGGGAGGGGTGTAGGGGACTATTTTTCCTTAAATAGGCCATATTCGTCCTTATTATGGGCCTTAAGGCCCCCCTCCCCTAAGGATCCCTATGGGCTTAGGGTCAAGGGTTTAGGGTGGGCTTCGGGTGCAGGGTGGGTTTAGGAATTAGGGTGGGTTTAGGATGTAGGGGTTTAGGGCTAAGTCAGGTTCTGCCTGCCTGGAATGACTACGCCTCTCGGCTCAGTGTGGAGTTCGGGGTGGAGAGGTCAAACTACTATTTGCTTAAGAAACCACCAAAAAATAAAAATAATAATCCCTATATTACACCTATAAGGAATATATTTTTTGTTTTTTGGTGGTTCTTAAGCAAATAGTAGCAAACGATCCCTGATATAGATGTCTGAGTCACAATTTGATCGTATTGCCGTAAAGCCTGTTGAATCTTATATACCATGATACACCCCACAGTTCTATTCGAGTAATTATCGCCCCTATATTACAAGGTCTTGAACACAGTAGTAGCATCAGTGCGTGCTCGTTAATTAAGGTGGCAATGTGGGAAACTTTTTAATTTCCCTTGTGGTTCCTATAGAATTACCTATTCATAAAATACTTTTCAGAGCCCCCCAACTACAACCCAAGAGTTTATTTGCAAGATGAAGCACTTGCCCTGTCTAATTGTTCAGGCCCTCTACTTGGAAAGGTTTCTATGCTCGGAGATTGAATTCTGCGGGTCGGTTCTGGGTCTCGAAAATGCTTTGGGCTTGTGGTTTAAGGTTGAAACTGAAGCTTTGGCAGCTTTGAGAACCCCAAGGCCATAATATAGCCTGAATAAGTACCCTTCTATTTTGGGTTCCTGATTGTGATGATAGTCCAATGTACCCCGAAACCCTATTCTAACTGTTAAGGCCCCAAATACTTCATCCTCATAATACCCCTTGTACCTTATAGACCCCTTAACGGAACCCTCATAGAACCCCTATAGACCCCTTTAAAGGGAGCCCTACTCTAATTGTTAAGGCGCCTATGTTCGTTCAACAGCCCTAAGCTCCACATCATTCTGCAAAGAGGCTCGATCACTTTAGGATTTTAGGGGTTTAGGGGTTTAGGGGTTTAGGGGTTTAAGGGGTTCAAGGGTTAAGGGGTTTAAGGTTAAGGGGTTTAAGGTGTTTAGGGGTGTAGGGGTTAGGGGTTTAGGGGTTTAAGCGGTTTAAGGTTTAGGGGTTTAGGGATTTAGGGTTAAGGGAACTTTAAGCCCGAAAGCAGAAATCTTCGATATAGGGGCCTTAATAATTTTAATAGGGTTCCTTTACAGGGGTCTATAAGGGCTGCTATAAGGGCTATTATCTGGATGTAGTATAGGGGCTGTAATAATTACAATGGGGTTTTGGGGCCCAGCATAATGAGGAACTCCCAAAATAGTATTGGTGGTTATTTAGGCCCCTCTAGTATCAACAAAGACTGGCTTGAACCCTAAACCCTACACAAGCCCACTCCTAACATCGCCGCACGAAGTGACCTGGACACGGAGTTTGGAATTTAGTGGTTTTTATGGGCGAAGCTGGCATTTCAGACAGTCGTGTGTCTGGAAGATATGTAGAAGCGCTGAAGACCAGAACTTAGAGGACCATGGGACTTAGTAAGTAGGGTTATAAGTAAGGTAACTAGAGTTATATCTACTTGTAACCCTACTTAAGGTACTTATAACCCTACTTACTAAGTCCCATGATCCTCCAAGAACCGTCAACATCCCTAAGCCCTAGGTCTGGTGGGATTTCCAGGGTTCCTCATCTAACCCTACTTGGAGGATCGGGGGACTTAGGACGTAGGTAGTAAGTAGACTTATAAGTACCCTAAAAGGGACCCTCATTGGGGTTATGGTACTTATAAGTCCCCAAAATAACCAGTTACTAAGTCCCCCGACCCTCCAAGTAACCGCCTTACTTCAGCCTCGATCCGGTAACTCCAGAGCCAAACCCCTTACCCTGGCAAAAAGCAGCACCAACGAGCCCCGAACCCCGAGCCCTGAGCTCCTGACCCCTAACTTAGTAGCTGAGTGGATACACTTTACACTTTTGGGGATAATATTACCTTCTATAAAACTACACGGGTACACTTTTTGGGGGCTTATGAACTCTAAGCTAAACATCGTGAAACCCCAGGTACCGAGCCTTCTGCGACCTGATGTCCTTGCCTCTCGTGGGCAACGCTGCAGACGTCATGGCTTTGTCCACCAACAAGTGGCAGTCCAAGGCAACCTTAGAGGGGTTTAGGTTTCGAAGTAGTTTCTGTAAACTTTAAAACCTATTTCCTACACCCCGAGGGTTTAAGTTTCGAAATAGTTTCTGTAAAACTTTAAAGCCTAGTTTACACCCCGAAGCATGGCATGGGGTTGAGAAGCTGTTTCTTTCGAGGGGTTGTCATGTGAAATCCTTTTCAGTATTGCCGCTCCGCGGCTGCATAATGTCCCTCCTCCCTTGTCCACACCTCAAAATCCGGAACCGTGACTTTAGATACACAAAAATTGATATTGATAACAGACACATCTATATATATATATATGAATATATGTATATATATATATGTATACACACACTGTCTGTTACATAGTGACTGTGGCTGTGTATTTACATATACATACAGATGGATAGACAGATAGATAGATAGGTATACAGATAGAGAGAGGCAGATAGATATATAGAAGGTAGAGAGATAGAGAGATAGAAAGCTGAAGAGAGAGAGAGAGAGAGAGAGAGAGAGAGAGAGAGAGACAACCGTATGAGAACCCTGAGGCTGCACCTTGTGCACCCAAGCCTCTGCCTTCATCGCTATAGTCCATTGTAGTTCCTGTTTGGGGTCAGTTGCTATACGCTCACTCCGAAAAGGTACTACCATGGAGACTAGAGGTATAAACCCTATACCCTAAACCCTCGGAGTTCCAGGTTGAAGGTTGATTCAGTTTATATAGTTAAGTTTAACCCTACATCCTCGGTGTTCCAATTTATACCCTAAACCGAAACCTCTACAACCTAAACCCTAAACCCCTAAACCCTAAACCCTAAACCCCTACACCCGACACCCCCTAATCCCTAAACTCTAAACCCCAAACCCTAACCGTAAGCCCAAAATCCTATATAGCCTACCTGAACCCGGAATTACCTTCCCTTTTAAGGACTTATATAAGGAAATAGGAACCCAAAAAAAGGTAGGTTCTTCAGGGTCCAGGTAAGCCCTAAGCCCAAAATCCCAACCCTAAATCCTAAACCCTAACCTAAACCCTTTCGAACCCTTAAAGGATTTCCCAAAATCCTCCAGCTTCAGCAGGCCATCGTTCAGTCGTTTGGCGTGAAAGTGCCTGAAGGGGAGCCCCTTGTCTCATCCGAGTTCATGGGGATTTAGGGTTTAGTGGTTTAGAGTTTAGGGTTTAGCGGTTTAGAGTTTAGGGTTCAGGGGTCTAGGGTTTAGGGTTAGGGGTTCGTTCGAGTTCGTCGGAAGTGGGAGTTTCAGGAAGTAGCGGAAATAGGATCCGTAATATACAGACCCCCTCCCCCCCCCCCCCCCCCCCCCCCCCCCACAATTTTAAGCTACCCAAGTGTTCTAAAACGCACTTTGAGAGGTAGAGAGGTTCAGAAGTCTGGTGCTTCGGGTGTCTAGTGAACGAGCTGGAAGGGATCCGATCTAGGGTTGATGGGTTTAGCGGCTTGAGCTTCGGGAGGCCGTATTCAAGTGGGAGTTTCCGAAAGTTATGGGTACCGCATTTTGGGGTGTACTATATCAGGGTCCCCTATTTGCGGAAACTACCTAATAATTGCCAAGGTAGAGTACTTGCATGTTGGTTGGAAGTTAGAGCCATGCTTTGCCACCCGAAATCTAAAGGCACCACGCGGACACCAAGTTTACGTCAGACTGGATAGGCTACTGCGAACAGCTTGCTGGGAGTTGGCGGTCAACGGGGCATATGGAGCAGAGTCGCTGCACCGACAAACGGTAAGCCGACCAAAGATGACCTTGCCAACATTCCTAAACCTCTAAACTTGTGAGCTTTGAACCCGAAAGCTTGAACCCGAAACCCTTGAAACTCGAAACCCTAAACCCTAAACCCCGAAAGCCTAAATTAAAAAACTCCTAAACCCTACATAAACCTAACAAAGACCCTGTATAAGCCCTGCCCGAGGTTCCTGTACCAAGGCGACAAGCCGAAGATGGCTCCGCCCTTCCTTGCCGGAGCCTCGTCGTCCTGTCCGCATTCTCTCAAATCTCCGGGTTTCGTATTTGTATTGAGGCTTAAGGGCTTAAGGCTTACAGGATTTACATATGGTTGCGCTGACGACCAAAGAAGGCCCGAAACACCGAGTTGTCCGAACTCATTTTGAACAACGGCCAAAGACAGCTTGCAGTTCCGCTCCAGTAACCAGAGCATTTTTCGCAGTTTAACTGTAACTCAACATCTCTGATAAGTGCTACCGCGTAATTCATACTTCCAAACCCGGAAACTTTCCCATCCTCAAACTTCAACCCTTTGACAAACGTTTTGTTCATGAGGTGAAGCCCTGCAACGAGGACAACTCCCAGGTGGCTTCGGAGTGGTGCAAATGTTTGCAAACTTAAAGTCAATGTTTCATAGAGTCGCTGCATAGTTAAGTTAGAATATGGGAGTTTCCGAAAATTAGGGGTACCTTAGTTTAGTGTCCTGAAAATAGGGATCCTACTATTCAGGGTACTATATTAGGTTCCCCTATTTTTTCGGAGACTACCATATACCGAGAGCCTTGTTCGAATCATTGAGGTCGTTGCATTTTCTTTGCAATTCTCGGCTGCAACTCGAACTAGATCACCCTCCGGGGCAAGCCTGATGGTAAAGCTAAGCATTCGCATGTAATTCAAGTTCTGCATGGTGAGGCTGTGTTCCTTCAAGCTTGAAGAGAGATATATATATATATATATATATGTGTGTGTGTGTGCAGATAGACTGGGTGCAGATTGAAGTTACACGTTGTGACTTTGTCTGCCCTACCAGCCCACTCAACATATTGGTGTTGGGGGACTCTGGGCATGCTATGCTACCATCTTCGGATGGTTTCGTTTCCCTTTCAGGTTTACTGCAGGAGCCTGATTAAGAACCCTGGGCCTAAAAAAATAAATAGTAGGGTTCATATAAACAACTCAACAAAGGCCCAAGGTTTCTTAATCAGGTTCCTACATTACTTGGAGGGTAGTCATAAGTGGCGTTATAAGTCGCCTTATATGGCGTATAAGTATAGTTGCCCTACTTATGACCCCACTTAGAATACAGTACCCTAAACCCTAACGCCTAAACCCTATAACCCTATAGATCCCTTCAAAGGAGCCCTACTTATAACCCTACTTATAACTACGTACCCATGAACCTCCAAGTAGTTATAGGATCCTTTAGGGAGGGTGGTTCAAGGGGGGAGGGTATAAGGAATCTTTAAGGGACTGTAAGGGAACCTTAGGGAGTACTAGGGAGAATTAGGGATCACTAGGCTATATACCCCCTTGGACCCCCCTCCCTTAAGGATGCTACAAAGTAGAGCTTTGGTCACAGGTTCGGCATAGATATTGGATGCAGGTTGTGAATTTGTGAATCCTTACAACCTGGGGTCGAACTTGCTTACTTTTGGGCCCTAAATAAGTGCCCATACGATTTTGTAGGGCTCCTTATTATGCTTATAGCGTAATGGGCCCCAAAACCCTTTGCTAACTATTAAGGCCCCTACACTAAGCGTCAAGACACCTGCAGAACAGCTCAGGGCATCAATCTCGTGCGAGAGGGAGGCGATGTGGATGCGGCTCTGAAGGCATGGCCGTTTGTATGCTGACCCCCCTAAACCCTAGACCCTAAACCCTACCCTAAAACCCAAGGGTTCAAAGGACCCAATATCTAGGTACTCGGCCTTAGGATAGTAGTTATGTAGGTTAGGATTTCGGAGAGCATAAGATTATTGAGTACTTGGACCCTTGGGGTAAAACCCTAAACCCTAATTAAACCCTAAACTCCCCAACCCTATAAGCCATCAACCACGTAGGCCCACAAAGACCTACGAACACCCCCAAACCCTAAACCTTCAAAACCCTACAGTAATCCCTGATTCCTAAACCACCCGCTGGGGTTTTCATGTTCCGGGTTTAGGTTTGGAGGTTGATGAGATTTGGTGGGTTCAACTCATCAGTGTAGCTTGCTTAGATCCCCAATACCCAACCTTTAAACTTTTTGGGCTCTTATAGTTTAGAATTACTAGGAATCGGAAAGTTTAAGCGTTTATTTCTGCGGCTTATTGGGGGAGTAAGTTTGGGTAGAGCTTTATGCTTCAGTGTAGTTTGGGTGTAGGGTGTGGGGCGAAGGCTCGTCCGTAGAAAGTATGACGGGTTGTGAAAGCATGCCGACCTAGTACCGCGGCCTCAACAGTAATGAGAGTTCGACCAGGGTTTTGGGGGCACATTACAGAAGACCCTAAATCCTAAACCTTGAACCTGAACCCTAAACCCTACCCTAAGGCTCCTAAGAGGGTCTTGGGCTTTCTGGGGGAGGGTTTCGGCTTTGGGGGCTAGGGTCCGGGATCTCACTACGAGGGTCCAGGAGCCTTAAGGTAAACCCCAACCCTAAACCCTAAACCCTAAACCCTAAACCCTGAACCCTAAACCCTAAACCCTAAGCCCCTAAGCCCCAAGTATAGTAGTACCACAGTACAGGGAATCTGAGGAGTCGACCTGTCGTCCAGCTTTCAGGATCTAGGGCCTTTAGAGTTCAGGTTTTCGGATTTAGGATTTAGGGATTTAGGGTTTAGGGTTTAGGGTTTAGGGTTTAGGATTTAGGGTTTAGGGTTAAGGTTTAGGATTTAGGGTTTAGGATTTAGGGTTTAAGGGTTTAGGGTTTAGGGTTTAGGGCACAGGGATTTAGGATCTCGGGCTTAGGGTTGAGGGCTCAGGGTTTACGGTTTTGTGATTTCGCCTCAACTTCACCACCTTAAACTCCACAACCCCCAGCCCCACAATCCCAAACACCCGAATTCTCCAGATCACCAAAACACCTTCAGAAGCCCTACTTGGAGGATCATGGGACTTAGTAAGTAGGGTTATAAGTACGTTAAGTAGGGTTATAAGTAGAAAAAACTATGGTTACCTCACAAATAACCCTACTTACTAAGTCCCATGGCCCTCTAAGTAAAGCCCACACCGTAGAACCCCATCACCCTGGTCCCTTAAATCTTAGCCTAAAGTGGGTGGTTGTCAAAGTTAGGGTCCCTTTTTGGATCCTTATTATAATACGGCACCAAATATTTAGGGTACCCAAAAAGGGACCATAATTTTGACAACCACCCAAGTGGCTTTACATTACGGAAACCACACTTCCCGAGACTACACGGTACCAAGACCTCTGAGAGGCGGCGTTTGAGTTCGACACAGAGGTACTCATCGAGCGCCACTTCGCTGCTGGGGGTTTTCAAGAGGCTTTACAAAGGTGTACAGGCCTTTCCCAGCGCACTTGAGGTCTGTTAGGTGTTGTTTAATACGGGTCTATGGATTTTGTCAGGGTCGTTAAGGGTTGTCATGTGCAGCTTCTCGCAAGGCTTTATCAGGGGCTTAGAAAGCTTCACAGCTTTCTTTCTTTATTAATAGGGTCTTACGAAGGCTTTGAAACGGTTTTATGAAGTTTCCCAAAGGTTCTTCCAAGGTTTTTGAACGGTCGTTTGAGGGGTATGCAAGGATTCACGTTTTACAAGGCTCACGGTTGTATACGGTTTTAGAAGGGCTCTAACAGTTGATTCAAACAAGGTGTTGCATCGGGATTTAGTTGTTTTTTTCTCTTGATGTGTTTTAGGTTAATACCTTGCGAGCACATGGTTCAAAACATAGTCAGCCCCCCTGCGCAATTTGTCGAGTACTTAACTAATATTCTATAATTACATCAGAAACTATTTTCCCTATTGTAAACCTATATATAGTACATCCTCGGGCCGAAAGTTTCGAGCTACATGTGTATTATCTAACATACAGGCTCTTACGGAGTAGCGGAGCGCCTCAAAGTGTCGTTTACCCTACCCAGGCTAGCGGAGTAATTTCTACCCCGTTTTAATGATATGATACTTTTTCGTTCCGGAGGAGGCCTCAGGGCTCACTTGTGTTAAAGGGAACTCCAGAAAGTTGGAATATGGTTTCAGGGTAGGATACCTTATAATTTACCATAAAGGGTTTACGATAATGATATTCCAACTTTCTGGCTTCTACTGTAGGAGTCTGTGGGGAGAGTGGGGGACTCGGGGTTCCAGCATGTTCAAGCTAGCGGGTCGAACTATCGGCCCGGCGCAGTATATGTGTATATGTGTGTGTATATATATATATATCTATCTCTATTTCTATCTCTATCTCTATCTCTATATCTATATCTATATCTATATCTATATCTATACATACATATATATATATATATACATATATATACAGGTTTAGAATAGGGATTACAGTAATATATACATATAGATGTACATGTATATATATATATATAGATATCTGTTCCTCGGCTGTCCTGGGGATCGGACCTCGGGACGGGGCTCGCTTATAGTTTGGTAGGAATCGGAAATGTTAACCTTGCATTTCTGTTGCTTATTGGGGGGAGTAAGGCCAGGATTTTGAGGTATTTCGAGGGTGAAGGAAGTTACAAACTCAGAGGTGTAGGAGCTCAGCAGGTTTATGGTTCGGCAGGGTTTTTTTTGGGATATTATGTTTTGCCGCTTCATGAAAGCCGAAGTTTGTGCCTTGGGGCTGCATGTTTCAGGGATTGAAATTTGGGGTTTCGGGTTTAGGGCTGGAGCTTCGGCTCAGGATTGGGGGCAACGGTCCCTCAACCCTAAACCCTGACCCCCATAAACCCTAAAACCCTAAACCCCTAAACCCTAAACCCCTAAACCCCTAAACCCTAAACTTCCTAAACCCCGAGCCCCTAAACCGTTTAGGTTCATGGGTTTTGGGCTCATGGTCTTGGATTCGGGCTTTGTGGTTGGGCGGATCGCTTGCTATCCGAGATAGGGTTTAAGGGTTCATGCGTTTTTAGGTCTTTAGGTTTCAGGGTCTTAGGGTTTAGGGTTTAGGGGTTCTGAGAGTTTAGGGTTTAGGGTTGAACCTCAAACCCTGACATAACTTTAAGCCCTCAGCCCAACGCCCAAGACGCTAACCCCGAGCCCCCCGAACCTCTCGAAGCCCAAGCTACTATTTGCTTAAGAACCCCCAAAAAATAAAAAATAGATTCCTTATAGGGATAATATAGGGATTATTATTTTTTTATTTTCTGGGTGCTTCTTAAGCAAATAGTAGCCAAAGCTTCCAATCCCCTAAAACCATAAGCCCCGAACCCTGGCAGTCCCCATCCCCCAAGCCATGCCCGAAGCCCCAAGCCCTAAAGGCTCATGGGACTTAGTAAGTAGGGTCCCTTAAAGGGGTCCTTATAGGGTTCCTTGAAGGGATCTATAAGAGTTCCATAAAGGAGGATCATGGGACTTAGTAAGTAGGGTTATAAGTACGTTAATTGGGGTCATAAGTAGATATTTATAACTATAGTTACCTTACTTATAGCTTATAACCGTACTTACTAAGTCCCATGATCCTCCAAGTAAGCCCTAAACTAAGAAGCTTGTCTCTGTGTTCCGGCACCGGAACTACACAGGCTATATCCCGCTTGGCAGGGAGATCCGGGTGGGCATCTTGGAACAGGACACTTGATGTTTGCATGAGAACAGAACACGGTTATGGGTTGAGGGTTTAGGGTTTATGAAGGTACGGGGCTTGAGACAGTGACGAGGGTATAGATAGTTTCGGGAACGGCGCTCAGGTGTCCCTTCTTTTGAGCCTCAAATCCATTCCCATTCACCACCCTTAAAGTAAAAGCCAGAAAGTTGGAATATGATTATCCTAAACCCTTTATGGTTAATTATAGGGTATCCTACCCTGAAACCATATTCCAACTTTCTGGAGTTCCCTGTATCTCGACAGCCGCGCAGAGGCCCTGAACCCGAAACAACCGTAAGCCCTACCTTTGCACTCGTGAGTCCTGCCGAGGCCTCAACCCCAAACTACATGAAGCCCTCTGAAACTAAAACTCTTATGCTAGGACCCAGAGTAGGCCCTTATCCCCTGTTTTAAGGGTTTAGGTTCCCTTATAACCCCCTTTAAACCAAAAAGGGCACCCTTGTTCATCCTAGGTTACTCTTGGGTCTAGTATGAGAACTAAACGATAACCTTCTCAAAAGTTCGTATCATTAATCGAAGGCCCCCTACATGGTCCTTGAGCAAAGACCGCCGTTTTTTGAGGACGGGCACCACACCCTAAGCCACCAGAAGGATGCTCATGCAGACTCAAAAAGGCACTCAACAACAAACCTCAAGCCTTATCAACCCTATATCCCCTATAAACCCTCTAAGCTCTACTTGGAGGTTCATGGGCAGTTATAAGTAGAGTTGTAAGTAGGGCAACTATATCCACTTATAACTACCCATGAACCTCCAAGTATATATAGATCCTGTAAGCCCGGTTAACCCGAAACCCTACAAACCCCCTAAGCCCTAGAAACCCTAAACGAACCCCCAGTTGAGGATGACGGCACACTGGAGATGCTCCCCTGCATCGAGTACTTCCTCTCCGAGGCAGCTTGGTGTTCTTCTGGTTGCCTGCCTCTCAGGACCCTAAACCCTAAACACTTTACCTTTTTGAACTTTTAGGGTTTAGGGTTTTCTGGGACTTTAACGCTTTGGGGTTCCATATCAACTATAAGAAGCAGGCTAAAAGTTTAACTTTTAGCTGTAGTCTCCTTAGGAACTGTTTTTTTTTATTTTTGTGCATATAGAACCCAAGAGAATACTAGAAATATTGTTTTCTTTTTGGTTCTAGGGGTTATAGTTAGGAGGGGTTGAGAAGTCAGCCAAGGCAGATCCCATTCGAACGGCGGCTCACAAGTTGGCCTCTCGCCGGTCAGAGGTTTCAGGTTTAGGGGTTTAGTACATTTAGGGTGTTAGGGTTTAGGGGTTTAGTACATTTAGGGTTTTAGGGTTTAGGATTTAGGGGCTTGGGGGTTTTCTACATGTAGGGTTTTAAGGTTTGTGGGTTTTGTCAATTTGGGGTTTCAGGGTTTACGGCTAGGGGTTTAGTTGAGATATTACCAATACTCGGTTTGGGGTTCCTTATGACCGGTACAGCACAATATACCCAAAACCCTATTCTAATCATTGAGGCCCCTTACAGTAGGGTGTTGGCCTTAGGGTTTGCCGTATGGGTTCCGTGAAGGATTCCTTGAAGGTGTCTATTGTGTATTTTTCTATTGCTTTCTGGGGCTTTAGGCGTTTTGGGAGGATGAGGCTTCGGGGATTCAGGGTTTACCTTAACCCTGAATAACCTACCTTTTTAGGGTTCCTTACTATGATTTCTTTATATAAGTCCTTAAAAAGGTAGGTTATTCCGGCTTAAGGTAGGGGCAAGCCCAAGGTGAACGACGACAACGGCGTGCCGAAGACGCAGGCGACGGGCGGCCGAAAATGTCCGGCTGACGTAGATGATGTGCTGAAGGCCTGGTTCAGCAGACGGGTTTAGGGTTTAGGGCAGAGGATCAATACCAGGACCCTCCAAGTACCTTCAAATAGGGGTATATGGCCCCAAATAATGGGCATTTAGGGTCTAATAGAGGGTAGGTGGAGGGTCTAGGTATGTGCATTATATGGGCGGTTGTCAAAATTGTGGTCCCTTTAAGGGTCCTTATTTTCATACTGTACCTAATATTTAGGGTACCCCAAAAAGGGCCCCAATTTTGACAACTACCCATATGTGCATTATATAGGGAATGCATTCCGGGATGTTTGTGCTTATTACTCCCTTAGTAGCTGAGTGGATACACTTTACACATTTTTGGATAATACTACCCACAAAAAAACTAAACGTGCACACTTTTGGGGGATTCTGAACTCAGCAACTAAGTTCCTTGGACCCCCAGCATGGAGGGCTTAGGCTTTGGGGTTGGGTGCTTGCGTTCGCAATGTTACTCCATAAGTGGTCGGTGATGATTGAGCCGGGAAGCCATGAGTTGTCGATTCGGTTGGACCTTTCGTAGAAACCCTAAGCCGTTCAGCCCTGAACCCTGAACCCACTCTGGCATGTGATGGATGAGAACCAGACCCCTCATTCCCCAGCGCCGACGACCTACGCCTTGAACAATAAACCCTAAACCCTGAAGCCATTCCCGTAACCGGGCGACCGGCCCAACAATCATTTGTAGGGTCGCTTCATCTAAAGGCCTGAAGACTTTACGAATATTATTCCTTGGGTTCCTTAATTAAGGTGACTATTCTGAAGCATGGCCCGAGACACCCCAAACCCCTGTTCTAACCATCAGGGCCCCTATGTTAGACCGCCTTGCACGCGGCCCCCAAACCTCCAGCCTCACGCAGTCACAGAGAAGACCCAAGCCTCGAAGATAGGCCTTCAGTTCCCTTTCGTGCAGAGGCTTAGGCTTTCGGTGTTTAGGGGTGAAGGGACTGTAGGGCTTAGGGTTTCGGTTGCGTTGATGAGTGTCCCGGGGCATGGGATTATAGTCTGGTCAGATAGGGACCATAAGGGCATGATCAACATTCCCAATGATTTCAGCCTGCTGGTATTCCCGACAGCCGAACCCCTGTAGTAAGCCTAAGCCTGACCTCAACCCGGAATAACCACCTTTTTAAGGACTTATAGAAGGAAATCATAATAAGGAGCCTTAAAAAGGTTCTTCAGGGTTAAGGTAGGCTTACTACAGGGGTTCGGGCATCGGGGCCTAAGCCATAAGCCGAACTCCAGGCGAAGTTGAAGGACCTTGCCGTTCGCAGCCACAAGGCACGGGTTAAGAAAAGGTAAATACATCGAGGTTCAACAGGTCTTGCTATACAGGCTGTTCAGTGGTACACTTTTTTACTTTCAGGTTTCTGGGTTCCTACTATAAAACAAGAAGCCTAAAACAGTATGTACGTTTTCCCAGTGGGTTACTGAACGGCCTAGCTACTGTCGATGATCTAAATTCTGCAGTACCTTAAGAACTTAAGAACCCTAAACTATGGGAAGTATGTTTTTTTTCCTTTTTATGGGTAGTGCGGGGTTTATATCATCAAAAGGAATATACCATAATCCCCATAGCTTAGGGTGCTTAAGGTAGTGCAGGGCTTATATCATCAACGCAGGATACGGGGAGGCAGGGTTCCGAGGTTCCGGCCCTGATATGCCGTAAGACCCCAACGCCCTACTTGGAGGGTCGGGGGACTTAGTAATTGGTTATTTTAGGGACTTATAAGTACCATAACTGCAATTAGGGTCCCTTTTAGGGTACTTACAAGTCTACTTACGACCTACTTACTAAGTCCCCCGACCCTCCAAGTAATAATAGGGGCCTTACTAGTTAGAATAGGGCTCCCTTACAAGGGGTCTATAGAGGTCCTATGAGGGTTCCTTTAAGGGGTCTATAAGGTATAAGGGGTATTATGAGGATGAAGTATATGGGGCCTTAATAATTGGAACAGGGTTTTGGGTCCCATGATACTATAGTCATAAATAAGGACCGCCCCAAAAAAAGAATAGTATTGGTAATTCTTTGGGCCCCTATAATAGAGAACCCTCAAGCTCTCGGGCATTATGCACCCTCAAAGACCGAAGCCCGGTTTAGGGTTTACTTGGAGGATCATGGGACTCAGTAAGTAGGGTCCCTTAAAGGGGTCCTTATAGTAGGGTTCCTTGAAGGGATCTATAAGCGTTCCATAAAGGAGGATCATGGGACTTGTAAGTAGGGATATGAGTACCTTAATTGGGGTTATAAGTAGCTGAAAGTATAGTTACCCTAATCATAACCCTAGTTAGTAAGTCCCATGATCCTTTAAGTAGGGTTTAGGGGCCCCAGTCTATCCAACCCCTCCTTCGAAGCCAAGAGACCCTCGAGCACAAATGCCGAAACGATTAGCCCAAAACTTTCAATGGGATGTTGTCAAAATTAGCGTCCCTTTTTGGGTCCTTATTATAGTACGGCGCCTAATATTTAGGGTACCCCAAAAAGGGACCATAATTTTGACAACCACCCACACACACATATATATATATATATATATGATCCCGGTTCGGCCGGCCCCCCCCCTTCCCCCCCCCATGGTTCCTCCTCCCCCCCCCTGTGGTGTGGTGTGGTGTGGTTCGGGAGTGTGTCTGCTTAGGCTGGTTACCCCACTCCCTTCTGTGGTGTGGTGGTGTGGTTTGGGTTTCCTGCGTGGATCTGATTGGCGTGAGCCCTGGTGTGGAAAAAGCTTGCACAGTCACACACACAGATTCGGCTTGGGGAGCGTGGGGGTGGGGGGGGGATACCAATTGGGGGGGGGGTCGGTGAACCGAGAACCGGGATCATACATATTCTACGTCCTGGGTTCTAGAACTGTAGAAGGGCTTGGGTCCTCTACGGAAGCATAATTCATTACCAGCATTGTCTTCTAGGGTGACTTAGATGGCAAATATGCGGTAATATAGCACAAAATCCGCAACACCCAAACCCAAAACCCTAAGCCCTAAAACCCTAAAAACCCTAACCCTGAACCCTATAAGCCCTAAACCCTAAGCCCTCTTCAAATTCTTGGCCCTCCTCGAAGTCGGTCTACGCGACTTTAAACTAGACCCTGAGTAGTCATTTGCTGGTCAGTATGCTGATCATAAGGACTCCCAGTTCAGGGGTTTAGGGCGAAGAACGTCCCCCGATGTCTGAGACACCAGCATGAAACCTTTCTTAACACCCACCCCAAAACCTTTCCAAATCCCTGGTGCGCCTTCTAAATGCGCTCCAGAGCCTTCTCAATCCCAAAATCATATGGGTAGTTGTCAAAATTATGCTCCCTTTTTGTGTACCCTAAATATTAGGTGCCGTACTATACTAAGTTGCCAAAAAGGTACCATCATTTTGACAACTGCCCATATAACCCCCCCCCCCCCCCCCCCCCGCGGTGTGGCTGCTTTGACTAAACTCTCGAAGCCTCGCCACCACGGCCCAATGATCACTTGGAGGATCATGGGACTCAGTAAGTAGGGTCCCTTAAAGGGGTCCTTATAATTATAGGGTTCCTTAAAGGGATCTATAAGAGTTCCATAAAGGAGGATCATGGGACTTAGTGAGTAGGGTTATAAGTACCTAATACATTAGGGTTATAAGTAGATATAGCTATAGTTACCTTACTTATCACCCTACTTACTAAGTCCCATGATCCTTTAAGCAGGGACCCTACCAAAGACGTCGGCTTTTGGTAGTTCCAGTACGGGTGTAGGTTATGTTTAAGACTTGGGCTCTAGGGTTCAAGGGCTTGTGGTTTTGGAGTTTGGGGTTCAGGGCTTCTGTGTGCCTCTACGCCCTGAACCCTTCTGTAGAGAATAGCAGGCTTTGGGCTGCCGCGACTACAGCCTCTATGACGTACGCGTCGACCCAGCAGCGGCTTGATATTCAGAACCCTAGAATTGGATTTAGGGCTTCGGCGTTTAGGGTTTGGGGTTGCAGCGTCTTTCTGAAGTGTATATGGTTTAGTTGGGGGTTCAGGTTTAGGGTTTAGGGATTAATGCTTCATCAGGGTCCTTTTCTGATTTCAATTTGTTCAGGCGTACCAAAGCTTAAGCTTCCTGCAGTTCTTAGTAGCTGAGTGGATACACTTTACACTTTTTGGGATGATATTACTCACTATAAAACTGCAAGTGTACACTTTTTGGGGCTTATGAACTCAGCAACTAAGACTTTGGGTGTCTGTTGAGCTTGCGCTATGGACCCTTGGGGCTTAGGGCTTTCGGGTTACTGCAGTTGAGGGTCGTAGGCTTTTCAGCTGTAGGGTCATTATAGGGTAGGCTTTAGGGTTTAGGGTTCATATTTTGCGTAAAGTTTCATTCAGCAGTGGAGATTAACTTCAGATGCTTGAAGGGCCTCAAACAGGCTTTGTACCTCTGAACACCTCAAGTCTTACCCGGCGGGTCAGTGAATATGGTGGTTCTATGCATGTATCGACCCTCTTCGTTTGCATATGTCGACTCTCTTCGTTATGTACCCCAGCACGTTTAACGTTGGCTATGTTTCAGCTGGGGTGTTCAGAGTGTCTGGTTTCGGATGTCGACTAGCGAGATTTTGGGTGCATCAATGCATCTTGCGTTCGATCGCGGCCGCAGCTTCGCAAGTGCCATGTTAGCAAGCATCAGTCAATAAGAGCGGCAGTGGCCATATTCATATGTATAGAGTAGCAACAGGAGCGAGTGTAATTGATGCCACCAGTGCCAAATAGTTGCACGAAGAGTGGCACTGCAGAATACAGCTGGTGAGCATCTTTCTGAAACTGTACACCGAAGCCTAGACTCACAAGATAAGCCCCAAACCTTAAACTTACATCCCGAGTTCACAACCCAAGCTGCCAAGCCCTGAACCTTTAATTAATCCTCGAGGCTCAGCCTATCTCCCACAGGACCCAGATCAAGGTATGAAACCCTATAATGTAGGGTCCTAGGGGGCTTCCTTATTGTAACTATAGTAAGAAATACCCCAAAACCCTATTCGAACTATTAAGGCCCGTATACACAAACCCTGTAAACCCTTGCCCAGACCCCCGGGAGGATCCAAAAAGTAGATCCCTTAAGGGGGGTACCCTTAGTAGCATAGGGCCCCAAATTAGGGGATTATCTTTCTAGATCCTGCCGGGGGTCTGGGTGTAGAGCCCTGAACCATTGCATGCCCCAGGGGGAGCCCTACTTCATCGAGGCGTGCCTCTACTGCTCTTTCTCACCGATGAGTTCTCCAGCTTCATTGGTTGAGGGTCTGGGAATTTCAGGGGTTTGGGGGTTGTGGGGGTTTAGAGTTGAGGGGTTGAGGGTTTAGGGGTCGGGCTCCATATGCAGGGATTCCTTAGGTTTGTTTTGAGGGTTCTGTGAGGGCTCTGAAAACTACTATTTGCTTAAGAACCACCAAAACATAAAACAAATATTCCTTATAGGGATAATATAGGGATAATATAGGGATGATTTTTACTTTTTATTTTTTGGGGGTTCTTAAGCAAATAGTAGAAAGGTTATAAAAAGGTTCAATAGGGGCTCTCGGGCTTCAGGACTTTGTATCGCTTGAGGTTTTGGAGATTTGGGTTTCAGGGTGTTGGGCTTTAGTTGCTGGGACGGTCTGCAGCTTCTGTTTTGGAACCATGAGTGTTATAAATTTCAGCAGTGTAGGTGAACTTTCTTGGCGTATGAAGGCAGAACACCCTCAACACTACGCCCCAATCGCTAAACCCTTAACCCATAAACCCTGAACCCCCCTAGACCTCCAAACCCCTAAATCCGAAATCCTAACCCCCTTAATCTTGGACGTTTGTCTTTCTAAATGTCCGCCATTGCTCGATGTACTTCCTGCAGGCCCGTGCAAAGTGTTGTTTGGGACCTGAAATCACATCCTAGGTTTTCTGAAGTTTGTTTTATTTACATGTCGTTGTACTCTACTCTATCATACTATACTAGTCTACTCTATTACAACATTCTTTTGAATTACATCATCCGAATCTACATTCCACTATGTTACTATGTTCAATACTGAAAGTTCATACTTTAGTAGCATAACCTATTTTGAATCATGCTGTATGACTTTCTATCTGGTACAACAATAGTATAGTACATATAGTATAGTATAGTGCAGTGTAGTACCGTACTGTTATAGCATGGTAAAGTATGGCTTATAGCATGGGATAGTGTAGTGTGGTGTTGTGTAGTATAGTATAATATAGCATCGTATAGTACAATATATCAAGGTTTGTGGCATTTAATCATTTGATACCACGGTATCGTAAAGTATGTCGTTTTTAGTACCTGATATAGAATGTCGTATTATGCTTTGCCATCATATTCTAATATACTAGTAGAGGAAATTGTAGTACTACATCATAGCGTGCTATATGGCAGTTTTAGTTAAGATATACTCTAGTCTCTTCATTCTATTCTAGTCCTTTCTCTTCTATTGCATCGTTTCTCCGAGGAATCATACCGCATGTTCTTACATTATAACATCCTTTCATGGCATGCCTTATCATTTCATATCGTATCGTATCATCTCATACGGTACAGTAGCTTTGTGATTAGTACATAGTATAGTATAGTGTAGTGTAGTGAGCTAGTGCATATTAGCTCAGTTCGGTTTTGTTTTACTCTCAGCATATTCTGCTTATGACTTAGTATTTTGAGTTCTTTCAGAACAGAATATGGCCTACTGTAGTTCTTCGTAGGCATATGTACGAGCATGTAAACATATATGTATACCGTGTGTCATTGCAGTTCGTTTTGCTTTGTACTAGTCGCGCTCATCTTGTTGCTGATGTATCGTTATACCTCGTTATATCGTTGTAGTATATTGTATGGAGTAAAATCGGACTATACTCTGCTCTATTCTACTATAGTGCACTGTGGTACAGCGCTGTATTATACTGTACTGTACAGTAGTATACTATACTATACTATAACTTGCTTGCTATCTAGTGTCACACCATTCTATCAAACATATCGTGCAATGGCATATCATGTACAGATTTCGCATGTTTTATCATGTGGCTTCCTATTACCTCACACTGCTTTGTGTCTTTACAACGTATCTTCTTCTTTCGTTTTACGGTGTTGAATATATGTCCGTCTATATACCTGGACATTTATGCATGTATGTGTGTGTGTATATGTTAATACTATGTATATATGATCCCGGTTCTCGGTTCACCGACCCCCCCGCCAATGGTATCCCCCCCCCCCCACGCTCCCCAAGCCGAATCTGTGTGTGACTGTGCAAGCTTTTTCCACACGAGGGCTCACACGCCAAGCAGACCCACGCAGGAAACCCGAACCACACCACACCGCGGGGGGCAGTGGGGTAACCAGCCTAAGCAGACCCACTCCCGAACCACACCACACCACACCACAGGGAGGGGAAAGCAACCCACAAACACACCACACCACAGGGGGGGGAGGAGGAACCTTTGGGGGGGGGAGGGGGGGGGCCGGCCGAACCAAGATCCTTTATGGTTGCGGTTTGGCGCCCGATGGTTTGCCCTATGTCCCCACCCCCTGTGGAACAGGATGGTTTTCCCTTTTGCTCTGAGACACACAGACACACACGCACACACACACCGCGCCTGTAGCGGGAGTCCTCCAGGCCTCCAGGCTTCAGGCCCTTGTAGTCTTGTGGTTGCGGGGATACCATTGGGGGGGGGGGGGTTGGCGGAAGGGGGGGGCCGAGAACGCACAGCGCACTACCATATATACATATATATATATATATATATATATATATCTTTGTATAGACGCATATGCACGCATTTTAACTTGCTTAGTGTTTCCGGAGCTCAGGTGTCATCGTTGCGATGGCCTCGAGCACGGGACGAACCCAGCAGTCCATCTACGAGATGCTGGTGGGGCTTTGCGGGGTTTAGAGTTTAGGGGTTTACGGTTTAGGGTTTTGGAGTTTAGTGGTTTTGTGTGTCCTAAGACTCCATCCCTGTGTTGAGTTAATGCCTGCGACCCACTGCCGGTTGGAGTTTTGACATATGGCTCCATTAAAGGATGTTGGACTTTCGTGAGTTTTCCTGATTGTGAAAGGGTTGAGGAATTGCCGCCATGCTGTAAACTCCATACCATTATTTTGCTCAGGGCTTGCTTACATAAAGCCCTACTCTCTAAACACACAAAAAATATAACAAATCTAAAAATGCACAGCACCAGTATCAGACCGTACTTGCCCTAACCTGCCGTAACGGACTTTTCTGCTGGGCCCGAATTCACACCGACACAAAAGTTACAGGGAACCGACACATGAGTAGGTTTCGTAGCTGAAGGTGCTGACTAGCTGTGGGCAAGTGGTAGAACATGAGGGAGCTTTCCTACACCATCCCTATGTCGAGACGGTTCACGACAGCGAACCTTGTAGCATCCAAAACCCGAAGCCACCACATCCTTGCGTGGTGTTGGGGCACCTACATGCACTCTAGCAAAAATCATGTCAGTTTTGTTTTGACTCTTAATTACACATCTTTTTTCTGGGGACCTAGATCCCGAGCTTCGGTCGCATCGGTGCACCAACCTCCCCCAAGCGTTGCAGTAAGCATGGTTTGTATTGTGGGTTCGATTGTCATGTATGGGCTCCCTAAAGATCTACTATTCTTATGCGTCTATCTCTTGGGTGATACTATGAGTTGATAGAATGCACCACTCTTCATGCAGTGGCGAGTGGGGTGTTTGACCACATCCTTTGTGTGACTCCCATGTCTTACCCGGACTAAGCCTCTACTTATTGCAGTCCATCATGTTCTGTTCTGTGATAATATGCGATACTGCACAGTACTGTGCTACACTCTGCTATGCGATCTTGCGCCATACTGAACTGTAGTATACTACAGTTTTCTGTATTCCCGTAATATATTCAATATATTCTACTTTGTTATATCGTAGAGTTTCCTACTATGCCATACTCTTTTTCACTCCATTATGCCAGACTAACCTTAACTCAACTACCATACTATACTACACTGTACTTTACTATACATGATTATGTTAGAAAACAGCATAGCGCTGTACCAACCCATTTCTGTTAGATGGTTTGTCCATGATGCTATTGTCAGTTATGTTATAGCGTTTTGAATCGCCCAATATTATCCTAACCTATCCTCTGCTGTACATTCACAGTATGGTTTGAATTATGATGTATCCAATACTGTATGTTGATACAAGAATATACATTCATCCTATATATTTCGTTGTTGCATGTTGCATATTCATTGTGTTACACTCTTTACATTGCTGTATATCATATGATATCGGCTTTCGTTAGTTTATTTTGTTTTTGATTGTACTGACTGTACTACAACACTTTCACTTGTGATATGTACACGTTTACTCAGTTCTACTTGTTCAGTATTTTTGCAATCTTGCAAGACATACCCTGATCTTACGAGACCTTGTATTATGCTTCAGTATACTTTTTTCATATGGCATGTAATCATATTATAGGGTATTGCTTCATGTCCTTGTTTGTTCTATCACCTTCCGCTATGATCTTTTACACATGTTATTGTGTTGTGTCAGATTTTCCAGCACACTGCATTTTTGTTTATTCTTGGTTATATAAGAACATATCTCGTACTACAAGATACCACTTCATGTGGCATGATACTGTTAGTATTGCATACGGTGTTCTACCTTGTGCTTCATGGTTCTTTACCATATGTTATTGTATTACATTGCCTGTTGCCTGTTGTCCTGAGGCCTTCACGTGCGAGTAGCGTTTAGGGCTGAGGGTTTCTGAGTAGTATCCTTTTGCCCTTTTAATTTTCAGGTCCCGCCGCTAAAACCGAATAGTAGGAAAAAGGGTACCGTTATGGTTAAGGCGCTACTCAGAAATCTAGACTTGGTAGCCCCGACAAAGCCATTCATCGCAACCATTGGACGCCTATTCAGGCCCGAAGCAGTAGGATCCTTGTGATAGTAAACCGATACAAAGACACCCACTAATTGGAACATGACCCCACTTCCCATGAAACCCTAAATCCCTAACCTCCAACCTAAACCGTAAACCCCTAAACCCTAAATCCCTAAATCCCGAAGCCCTAAACCCTAAATTCCTAAATTCCTATTCCCTTAGATCCCGAACAACCCTCCAGGTGAACCGCGCCATCGGGCGAAAGAGTGCGAAGGCCGGCGCCAAGCTCGGCATGAAGATGAAATGAGTGCTCAGAGTTTAGGGTTTAGGGTTTAGGGTTAGTGCTCAGAGTTTAGGGTTAGGGTTTAGGGTTTAGGGCTAGGGTCCATGCAAGGTTTAGGGGTTTAGGGTTTACAGGTTAGGTGCGTTTAGGTCACGCCCAAAATCTTAAGTTCAAAGTTCTGGTGGCCTTGGCGTCTAGCCGGCCATGCTCCTCAGGGCAGAGGACCAGGGCACGGAACAAGAGACACCAGGCTGTTCAGTGGTACACTTTTTTACTTTCAGGTTTCTGGGTTCCTATTATAAAATAAGAAGCCTAAAGAAGTATATACTTTTTCCCAGTGGGTTACTGAACAGCCTAGGACAGCGGCAATGGTTCAGGGTTTAGGGGCTAGGGTTTTCTGGGATTAGTTCTTTCTTGGAGAAGCGGCCAGGAATCTAGGGATCTAGGGACCCTTAGAACAAGGATCCTGGGATCTATAGAGTCTTAGAAGAAGTTTGGTTCAGGTATCCCAGTCATCCTCGGGTGTTTCAGGACCCCCGTCTCAGACCGCAGGATTGAACCCTGTATTGTAAGACTTCCTATCATCCCTACACCCCATAGAAGCAAACCCTAAACCCTAAAACTTTTATTTCTTGAGACCCATTTCCCTTGTGGAGGGCCGCAAACTGCGGCAGGTTTTTACTCTGGCCGTCTGCCCAAGTTTTTGCTGCAAGTTAGAGTCTTTCCTGCCTGCATCTCCGAATGTAGGGTTTAGGGTACTTGGAGGTTCACGGGTAGTTAAAAGTGGGGTTATAAGTCCCCTAATATGGATTGTAAGTGGAGTTACCCTACTTAATAACCCTACTTATAACTACCCATGAACCCCAAACCCTAATCCCTAAACCCTATAACCCTCTAGATCCCTTTAAAGGAACCTCCAAGTATAGGGTTTAAGTGTAGCCTCCCCAGCTCAACCCTGAGTTTCAAGCTGCACCGCAAGCCTGGGCGCTGCAGACGCGAGCTGAAGATTTAGGGTTTAGGGTTTAGGGTTTAGGGTTTAGGGTTTAGGGTTTAGGGGTTTAGGGTTTAGGGTTTAGGGTTTAGGGTTTAGGGTTTAGGGGTTTAGGGTTTAGGGTTTAGGGTTTAGGGTTTAGGGTTTAGGGGTTTAGGGTTTAGGGTTTAGGGTTTAGGGTGCATCTCCACCTTATCGTGCTGCAACCCGAAATCCTAGCCCTAAACCCTAAGCCTTAAACCCTAAACCATAGAAATATTAATCCCTCAACCGAAACCATAGAAATATTAATCCCTCAACCGTAAACCAAGACGCCGAACTTTAAGCACAGAATCCTAAACGTGCCGAATGTGGAGCACCGATGTGCCCCGCGTCATCGTCAAGAAACGGAGAAGGCTTGGCAAAGACTTTCGATTTCAATTTCGGCTTAAGCCCCTTTTTCGAGACCTGTCAAGCATACAGCGAGGGGTGGAGGGTCCAAACCCTAAACTTTAAACCCTAAACAGTTAAACTCGAGCCCCCTCCTAAACCCTAAACCCTAAACCCCTAAACCCCCTAAACCCCCTAAACCCCCTAAACCCCCTAAACCCCCTAAACCTTAAACCACTTCTCAGAGCGTCCAGGTTCAGGGGTGAGGCTGAAAGACCCGAGGCGAAGTAGGGACAGGCGAAGCATCTTGAAAAGATGTCTTGAGAAGTGCGGGTTCTGGTTTCGGGGTTTGCCCCAGAATCCACAACTCTTGAATCGTACCCGTTTAGGGTTTCAAGCTTTAGGGTTTAGCTTGGGGTTTAGGGTCTAGGTTTTGGGGTTGAGGGTAAGCATAGACCCTGCACCCCTACTCGGGGCCTTCGGCACGTGAAGACGTGCTTTTTCTTGTTTCCTTGGACAGCCCGGCCTCGCCGCAGCTGCACGAGGGTCGATCTGAATCAGTTCTCGCGCAGACTGGAAACTTGCGTTCCACAACAGCTATACTAATACAGGGGCTTTTTCATTACCTATAGTATTTTTTGAGGCCCCAAAACTCTATCCTAATTATTAAGGCCCCTATAGTAGCTGTCGTCAGCAAGTCATCGCAGTAGCAGTGGTAGTGGTCGACTTCGTCGTCGTGGTCGTGGCCGTCGTTATCGCAGTGGTAGTAGCAGTAGAGGAGCGGTTGGCGGAGCAGTCGTAGCAGTAGTAGCAGAAGTAGTAGTAGTAGTAGTAGTAGTAGTAGTAGTAGTAGTAGTAGTAGTAGTAGAAGTAGAAGTAGAAGTAGTAGTAGTAGTAGTAGTAGTAGTAGTAGTAGTAGTAGTGGTAGTGGTAGTGGTAGTGGTAGTGGCACTAATGGTAGTAGGAGTAGCAGGAGTAGTGGAGCAGCAGGAGTAGCAGGAGTTTAAACCGACAGCTAGAGGGATTCCGAATTCAGAACGACCATCCAGACATGGCCATCCTGGTGCCTTGCACCACAGCCGCTCTTCATCGCGAATGCAGAATTCAGGGTGAGATTTGGTAAGCTGTGTAAACGCTGGAGTGGATCCCCACAATCACAAATCCTAAAGGGTAACAACGTACACCTAAATCTAGCCTTTGCTGACGTGTTCGATTGGAGCAGTGGCTGGCTTAGGGGTGCCGTTCGTTCACGATTGTGCGAACACGCGAAAAAGTTTGCCGGATATATATATATATATATATAGATAGATAGATAGATATAGATATGTATCTATATATACATACATACAGACATACATACATATAGAGATATATGTATGTATGTATGTATATATATATATATATTCATAATATTTATGTTGATATTTGTGCTATATCTATACAGTTATCATATGGTATCACATGTCATAGATGCCTCAACATTTAGGGAGGATGTCTTCTTCCGCCCCCGGAAGCTGCTAGCGTCTTACCGGGCCACTGAAAATGATGTCGTTATACCCAGAGACTCCAGGATGCTTGAAGGGATCCTTTGAGGGATCCTTTAAGGGATCTATAGGGTTTAGGGTGTAGGGTTTAGGATTTAGGGTTTAGGGTTTAGGGTAGGGTTTAGGGTTTGGGGTAGCAGCTTAGCCAGGACCCCCCAAGCGCCCCAAATGGAGCCCTTAGGGTTCCTTACATCATAGTAGGGGTTCTACCTACTTTAGGGTATACTTTCTTAAATATCGGATATTGGAGTCTTGGGTAGTTATGGTCAAATACAACCCCAAAACCCGATTTTTACAATGTAATATGCTGTAATATATCATATGCCATAATTACTTCGACAATTTATAATATGATATATACTACTGCCCGCAGGAGTTCCGATAAAACGCTTTAACATCCCCAGAAGATCTTCATGCAGCCCTGCAAAGGGATCCTTTGCCTATGATAGAGCTGACCCCCCAAGCGCCCCAAATACAGCCCTTAGGGTTCCTTACATCATAGTAGGGGTTCTACCCTACTTTAGGGTATACTTTCTTAAATATCGGATATTGGAGTCTCTGGGTAGTTATGGTCAAATACAACCCCAAAACCCGATTCTTACAATGTAATATGCTGTAATATATCATATCCCATAATTACTTCGACAATATATACTATGATATATACGACAATATGGTCAAACACAAACCAAAAACCTATTCATGGTTTATTTATTCTGTGCCCGCAGGAGTTCCGATAACACGCTTTAACATCCCCAGAAGATCCTCATGCAGCCCTGAAAAGGAATCCTGTGCCTATGATAGAGCTGACTTGAAAGTAGCAAGTAAGGTCATAGAGTCAGGTTGTGATTAGGATGGCCCTACTTAGGGCACTTATCACCCCAATTTTAGCCCCACTTACCAAGTGCTGTCAGCCAGGACATGCGAGGGTGAGCCTTCAGCAAAGCCCGTCAAAAGCACTGAATCGCCAACCCGTCGCAGTGGACCCGAAACCCCAAACCCTGCCCTGAAGTGTAACCTCTAATCCCCAAAACCCTGAACCCCGCTTAAAAACAAAAACCGTGAACGGATGTGAGAGTCCTCGGGCTCGGCGGCGTGATTGCCCACACCCACACCGTTCAGGGTTGTGTGGGTTACGGTTTAGGGATTTGGGGTTTAGGGTTTAGGGCACCCTCAACGCCTAAAGCGCTCAACTAACTTCAGTACTAATCGCAACAATCATGAACTCCCCAGCCTTGATAAGTATACTTACAACCCATATTAGGGGACTTATAAGGGTTTAGGGGTTTAGGGTTTAGGGTTTAGGGCATGCACCTCCAAGTAGCCTTGAATCCCAAAGCCTCAAGCCCTCAAATCTTGAGCCACCGTGCAGTAGCAAGTTGAATACCCCTCAGACCCTGGGGTTTCCAAAGGTTTCCTGGAAGGAATCTCAAGGGTTCCCTTAAAGGCATCTACAGTAGTAGGCTTTAGGGTTTAGGGTTTAGGGTTTAGGGTTTTAGGGTTTAGGGTATAGGGTTTAGGGGTTTAGGGTTTCACTAAGAACTACTAAAAGCCCCTTACAGCCCTGTTCCGTAGGTTTTCTCTCGCACGGTTACTCCGGTTCCTGGACAGCCAACGTGCAGCAGCACTCGAGCTCGCGCAGCAGGCACCACGGGGTTGGAGCGTTCTGCCTGAAGGGATGTAATATAGGGGCCTTACAGAACAGGGTTTTGGGGGTCATTATACTATGTAAGGGACCCCCCCCCAACAAAAAAAAAATATAGGTATTTATTACTTAAGGCCCTTACAGTAAGGCAGATGAGGCTTTAGGGTTTGGGGTCTTTTAGGGTGTTGGGCTCAGGAAGTTCAGGGTTTCATGTATAAGAATTTTGAGCCTAGGGTTGTCGGGTGTTGGGCCTGGGGGCAAAGTTCATTGGCATTGGTTTCCAGCTTGAAGCTTGGGTGGGAAAATTCAACACAAGGGCAGTTTTCATGTAGGAGCCTAAATTGCGAATACTACTTTTGGGTTTCCTTATTGGCCTTATAGTATAATACATCCCAATGCCCTATTCTATTTATTAAGGCCACTACATTATGGGTTTGAGGAGTTTGGGTTAGGAGTTGGGGCCTGTGTTTCAGGGCTGGGTCATGCGTGGGCACAGTGTGATAACGGTAGTTGCTGTTAGTGACATGTCTCTGTTTGCACTGTCGCGCCGTGACACTGCATGATACTGCTGAGGGACAAAATCCTGCAGTACTCATTACAAGGGATATACCATAGTTCCCATAGTTTAGAGTCCTTAGGGTCATGCAGGATTTTGTCCATCAGCAGTAGCACCTAGCATCACGACTTCCTGAAAGATTATGGCAGTGATCAGGATGATGATGCTGCAGCTCATGATGCTGATGATGATGCGTGCTGCTGCCTTACGTATATCGTTCGGTAATTCGGGGCTTAAGATGTAGGGCATCGGCTATAGGAACAAAGAGTGCAGGGCAACATGAACAAGTTTAGGTCAGAGAATCTGCGGTTTGGGCTTAGCATGAGCCTCTGCCATCGGGCACTGCGGTGTCAAGCCTAGGGTTTCGGATTTAGATTTAGGATGTTCGGGCCATCGGGGTTTAGGGTTGGGGTGTCAAATCCTTCAGGGAACAGTGTCCTACCACCGGCAAAACCCTAAACCCTGATGTAACCCTCTCTGCTAGACCAGCCAAAGCGTTAGACCCTACCGCTTCACGATCCCAAGCTCCAGAAAGCTATCTTACCAATAAGGCAGAGGTGTGAATGACAATTTGTTCGATCCTCTTATAATCACTATTGTCAAAAAACCATACGGCTCCCAGAATTCCATCAAGACCCTCTGTCGAATTCCCGAAGGCCACCCCCAAATTCATAGCCCTAAATCCTAGGCCACCAAAGCCATGTCTGCCCTACGCACTAAACTCCCAACCCAAACCGATGTCTGCCCCTCAAAAGCCGTGTCTGCCCAAAGCCATGTCTGCCCTACGCGCTAAACTCCCAACCCAAAGCAATTTCTGCCCAAAAGCCTAGAGCCCAAAAAGCCGTGTCGGCCGAAAGCCATGTCAGCCCCAAACCCCAAACCCTAATTAAACCCCTAAGCCGAAACCCTAAAACCTCTCAGCCCCAAACCCTAAAACCCCCAGAGCCATGTCAGCCTCAAACCCTAACACTAAATCCCTAGAAGCCCGAAACCCTAGCCCTAAACCCTGAGAGCCCCAGAGCCATGTCCGCCTCCTTCTGCATGGCCGCGGCACTCAGCGCCGCCGGCGTCTCCTCCCTGGACTCAGAATCAGAGCAACGGGTGGTGCCAAAGCCGCGGCTTAGGATTTAGGGTCTAGGGGTTTAGGGGTTTAGGGGTCTAGGGTCTAGGGTTTAGGGTTTAGGGCCTAGGGTCTAGGGTTTAGGGCTTAGGGTTTAGGGGTTTGGGGTCTAGGGTTTAGGGGTTTAGGGTTTCCGCAAATTAGTGGGTGCCCAAGGGTTCCTTTAAAGGGTTACCCAGGCTGTTCAGTGGTACACTTTTTACTTTCAGGTTTCTGGGTTCCTATTATAAAATAAGAAGCCTAAAGAAGTATATACTTTTTCCCAGTGGGTTACTGAACAGCCTAGTTACTATAAGGGTGCTATAGGGGTTCTTTTAAAGGGCTCTAAGGGTTTGGAGTATCCGAAAATTGGGGGTACCTTATTTTGGGGTCTTTCTAATAAGGGTTTAGGGTTTAGGTGACATGGCGAAGACAACCCAGAAGTGCATGTCGACAACATCGTCAGCACCAACGAGAACAATGAGCAGCAACACCATAGGAGAAAGAAAAAACGGTCAAGACGCCTGCACCACCACCTTTGGAAACTCTCTGCAAGCTTTGCCCAACTCAGTGTGAGACAAGACTATCGCACTCAAACCCTGCAGTGGGCTTGTTTGGCCTTTGCCAGCTGGCCCGAAGTTCTTGAGAAGCCCCTTGTGCACCCTGACCCGCTGAGGTGGCTGTTAATTAGCCTTCGCACTCAGATTGGTGTCTCAGTTTCCCATTGACCCTAAACCTCAAAACCTGTTTGGGTTCCACCCCCAAGGGTCCAAGTACCCAATAATCATATACTCTCCCAAGTCCTAACCTACATAACTACTATCGTAAAGTTGAGTACCTAATTATTGGGTCCTTTGGACCCTTTGGGTACTGTAAGGCCGTTTAAACCCTAAACCCGAAACCCTGAACCCTAAAAAAAACCCTAAACCCTAAACCCTGAACCCTAAACTCTATACCCTGAACCCTAAACCCTAAACCCTAACCCCTAAACCCTAACTAACGCTGGTGTCTGGGGCACAGCTGCAAGGCCTCTGCCCTGACCCCTATGCCAAAGTTATTTTGAGGATTTGGTGATTGACTAGGCTTTGCGTTGTTGCTTTTCGTTCAAATTCGTTTAGGGTTTACGGGGTTTAGGATGCAGGGTTTAGGGTTTTTTTAGGATTTGAGGATTATGGTTCTCCGGTTTCGGGTTTAGTTAAGAGTTTAATTACGGTTTAGGGTGTGTGGGTCTAGGCCCTCTTGGTAAATGCCATAGAGCTCACCCGAATCCGGACCGAGGCCTTCATTGCAAAAGTGTATGGCCTCGTAGTGCTACTTGGCAGAATCGCATAAGATCCTCACACATCTTGTCTTGCCTTGTCGTATCATGTCAGGTCATAGCTTAGCCCAGCATATGACATTATGCCATAAGGTATTATATCATAACATACCGTACCATATCATATCCGACCATATCGTTTATGTGTGTACATATTATATACATATGTGTATACTATCTATATCTGTATCTATATACATATGTGTATATATATACAAATAATATACTCAGCAGTACACTACAGTATAATGCAGTACGACATGGCATATTACCACTTCAAGACATTGGTCGGAGGTGGTTTGTGGACAGAACGGGTTGAGTGTTTGGCATTCCGGGTTGCGAGGGGTAAATTTTCTGTTTGCGGCTTGGGGTTGGGGGCCTAAACTTTAATTTAGGCCCCAACACCCTACACAGTACCCTGTAAGGGTCGAGGAGACGAACTTGCTTCAAGTTCATCCCGCTCTTGCTCTTCTTGTGAGGTAATTGTTGTTTGGGTTTAGGGTTGTGATGTGGGGCTCGTGCTTTTGTGTTGTCATGCTTTGCTTTCGTCATCCTCATTCTCCTCACCAATACCATCGTTAGCACCAACCTCTTCCCGTGGCATCGGTATGACTATTGTGACCACGCTCGTGTGCGAGTCGGCGGGTGCGCACATTTACGACAACCACCACCCTAAGGGTCCTAACACTTTAGGGAACCTCAAAATGTAGGATTTTTGAGACCCCAAAGATACCTAAGGGCTCTCCCCCGGAGATTCCGGACCCTCCTAAGGAGATACCTGGACCCGTAGAGCAAGCACTTGCCGGGTAATCTTTATTCGCAGCTGCCTATTTGCCAGTCCACTTGCAGGATTTTATCCCAGGACCTAGTCAGGTACGCTTGTACACGGGGGGCACGCTCTGAGCCCCGAGCTCACACCGAAAATCCAGCACAGCTTTCACCCTTAAGCTCTAAACCCAAGCCAAAGGCTCCATGTACCTGTACAGCATATGCTTAGGCCTTAACGGGGTTCCTATCAAGGTACTCGAAAGAGTAAGCATATACTGGCATATACCATCTTTCTATGTACATATATATATATATATACATATACATATATTTTTTTTATCGATCTATCTATCTATATATATATATATGTGTGTGTGTATAGATATGGCCCATTACAGCCCTGTAGCTGCTACCTTGAAGCCCGGAAAACACCGTCCCAGCCGCAGGGCCCCTCCTAAACCTAAACTCCTGTCCTCTAACCTACTGGTTCCCTAAACCCCTAAACCCTAAACCCTAATCCCTAAACACTAATCCCTAAACCCTAAACTCAAACCCTAAGCCCTAATCCCTAAACCCTAAACTCTAGACCGTAAAGCCTAATCCCTAAACCCAAAACTCAAAACCCTAAACCGAAATGATTTGAAAACTGTGGATCTCCACTAGAGTCCTTCCTCAGGCACCCGGGCTATCATTCCATACGCCCAAAGGCTCCAAAGTACCTTTATAGTAGAATGGGTTGTGCTTTGGTATAGTTTTAAGTTTCCTTTAATTTCCTTATAAAGGGAACCTATTCATAAATAGTTTTCAACGGGTTTAAAGCACAACCCAGTAAAATGTAGGTTTTCTATAACAGGAATTACTATTGTGGTTTGGGGAAGTATCCCCCATAACAGTACCTAGGACCCTTTGGGTAAAGCTTCAAACTCGCCCTATGCACACTGCTTGGGATCAGCGTCTAAGGGGTCAACCTCAGGAGTGCGGCGCGAGCGACCCGGGTAACAAAGGGGACCAGGGAGAAGTGTATATATTAGAAGTATGCTGGGCCCCTTTTGCTCTACAGTAGCTGCTAGCTACAGCCAGAGCGCTTCAGGGGAAGAATTTGAGTGATTGCGTGCTGTAGGAATGCAGAGGGGTCTATAAGGGCTCTACCCAGAAGCCTAAACCCTAAACCCTCAGCCCAAAGCCTAAAGCCTAAACCCTTAGGGGATCCATGCCCCGCACTAGCTGCACCTACCAGAATCTACTTTTCTGGAGGTCCCTATTCCAGTCGCAACCTGCAACAGGCAGGTTGCGACAGTTTAAGGTCCCAAAGGGTCCTAGGTACTGTTATGGGGAATACTTCCCCAAGCCATAAGAGTAATTCCTGTTTTTGAAACCCTACATTCTACTGTAAAGGTACTTTGGAACCCTAAACCCTAAACCCGGTGCTTTGGAGCCTTTGGGTTTGCCATTGCCTCGAATCAAAGGGTGAAAGGAGGGACCCTTAAGGAGGACCCCGAGGTATATACCCTTAATATAGCCATTATACACTAATTATACAGCCCATTATAGGGTAGGGCCTACCCTATAATGGGCTGTATAATTAGTGTATAATGGCTATATTAAGGGTATATACCTCGGGGTCCTCATTAAGGGTCCCCATTAAGGGTCCCTCCTTGTCCCCTTTGATCGAAAGGCTCATGCTCGCCCTCACGGTCTTCCTGGTTGCGTTCTTGCCGACGAGGGACTGGCAACGGTTTGGGTCCCGGCAGCCAGACCTTTCAAAATCACTTAACTACCCAAAGGCTCCAAAGTACCTTTATACTAGAAGGTGGGGTTTCTATAACAGGAATTACTATTATGGCCATAACAGTACCTAGGACTCTTTGGGCTATATAAGGAATATATAAATTGAATCATAGTCAGGAGCCTACTCTAGTTCAGGGTATAATTCCTTTCGCAAGGGATTTTAGACGGTCTGGGCAGCCGGTTTTCGAGTGCTTCGAGCGGGGGATGGTTTACTACACCCTACGAACCCCCTTCGAAATGTGCCAGAGGGTTTAATTAGACGGTTTGTGAAGGAGGTGTTGGCGCAAGGACTTACAGTCTTACAGTCGTGGGCTGAGATCAGAGCACAGAGGTTTCAGGATGCAGAAGCGTAGGTTCGGTTTTGTCGTCTGTGAGTTCTCGTTAAGGAGCGTAATTTAAGTCCATCGCAGGCAAATATAGCAGATAACAGGGTTTGCTTGTTACCGTGCTTAAGTCCATAATAGTGGGCCAGAGTAGATAGCAGGATTTGCACATATGGTAACTTAAAGTAGATTCCTTAACAAGGCCCAGTCTTGCGGTGTCGGGTTTCGGGTTTCTGTTCAACTCTTCAGGTTCGATCCCGGGTTTACGGGTGCCGTGCTTTGGGGTTTGCCCTAAACCCTAAACCCTAAACCCTAAACCCTAAGCCCTAAAACCCTAAAACCCTAAACCCTAAACCCTAGCTTGAGGGTTTAAAGTTTAGTGCTGAGGGTTCGGGGGTTTTGGGGTTTAGGGGATACCTGTAGCCAAAAAGACTTACCTTTTTAAGGACCTATATATAGAAACCTTAATAAGGAACCCCGGCTATAGATAGGTGTTGAGTGTGTAGTCGCATGTATTATAGTACTTTTATAGATCCCTTATCGTAGCCCTTATTGCCCCCTTTAAAAGGTCCCCTTAAAGGAGCCCCTTTTTGACACTTCCGGAACTAGGGGTTCAGAGCTGTGGCTCCGAAACCTCATTCGGATTGAGATGGAATTCAAGCATAGACTCGACCCTTAAACCCCCACGGTTTAGGGTTTAGGTCAATTAGCCGTAAACCCTAAACCCTGAATCCCTAGACTGCTAAACCCTAAACCTAATCAGAAAGATCCTTGTTGCGCGAGCCCCCATCTGCAGCCCCAAGCCCGAATACATACGTAGAGGATCATGGGACTTAGTAAGTAGGGTTATAAGTAAGGTTGTATAATTATATCTACTTATAATCCCAATCGAGGTACTTATAACCCTAGCTACGAAGTCCCATGATCCTCCAAGTAGACCTCAAGCGATGCTTCCAAGTCCTTCTTTCCAACCCTCATAGGAGGCCAAAAGGAGTTTTCCCCTATGGGGGTTTAGAAGGGATTAGGGTTCCCATAATAGGGTTCATATTCAGGAATCCCTGCCCCAAGAGTCTTAAACCCCCCTTTGGGCTTCCCATCAAACCCTGAACCTGTAAACCCTATCTCTAAATCCTAAATACTCTATAAGCCCAAAGCCCCAAGCCCGAGACTCTAAACCGTAAGCCCCAAATCCCTGAACCTTGAATACTGCAGTCGAGTAGGTAAGGTTCAACTTTTTGGGGGGATTACAACTCCTATATATTCCCAAAGATTAACTTCTATTCCCCTTATGATACTGGAAAAGTATGCTATACCCTATACCCTTAAACCTTAAACCCTAGTTCTAAGCTCCAGCAAGCCCAAGATTAGGTCACCCAGCATCTGGCGGCTTCCCCGTCTAGGCCTCCTGGGTTGAGACGGTAGGCTCTTCGGCTTTCGAAGCAAGACGAATTGGGCCTCCCAGTTGGCCTTCTTTCCTTCTTTGCGGTCATAGGTTCCTTATAAAACGACCCAATATCAAAACGGCAGCCTATTTTTTGTGAGTCACTGGTGATCTTAGGGAAGGGTTTTGGGGTTTAGGGGTTCAGGGTCTTGCCGCTCAGGGGTTCAGGGTTTTGGGGTTCAGGGCTGTTGATGTGTAGGGATTTGGTCTTCGGGCTTTTTTGGATTTTGGTTTCAGGGTTTAGGGTTTTTTGTTTGAGGGTTCTGTCTTTGAGGATTAGGGTCTTAGGGTCTGGGATATCTCTGGTGTTCAGGGTCTATGGGCGTTCTTGGAGTATGCGGGCAGAGGGTTTGGGGCCGGGGGTTTGTGTATAGTATAGTACAACGATCTTCTTCTCCACGTCCTTCCAAGCAGGGAAGTGTTTCCCTAAACCCTAGACCCTAAACCCCTAAGGACCCCTTAAAGGAACCCTAAAGATCCCTTTAAAGGAACCCTAAGAGCCCTAAATCAAGGGTCCCTCCTTTACCGCCGAAGAAGGTGTTTTCGCACTTCCGCCTCTTGTACCTCGACCTCTGCTCACTGCCCCGGCGAAGGCGCTCTCGTCGGGCTTTAATCAGGCTTGGAGGCGTTTTTCGCTTGAAACCATGAGCCTCTAATACTACGGTTGATGATAATAAATCCGCATTACCTTAGGAACCCTAAACTATGGGATGTATGGTATATTCCTTATCATGGGTAATGCAGGATTTATATCATCAACCGTAGTTTCGGATATTGTCGGCTCTAGCTCCTTTGGAGTGTAAGCCCTCTAAACGCCTCAAGCTCCACAGAAACCCTACGTGGCCCGGCATGGCCTTACAGCTCAACTGTTGGCCCGGCTTCAGGTGTTGAGTGGGGGCTGGCGGTCTAGACAGTCCTCGAAAAAACTACGAAACCATAATTCGCAAAACCGTAGTAATCCCTAGACGCTAAACCACTAAACTGACCAGAGGTCTTCTAATAAACCAACGGACAAACCAACATCTTAACAAGAAGCTTGCTCTCTCAGCATCCTGTCTGTTGCTTTCACCAATAAACTCCCATGGTCGTATGTAGAATGTCGAGGTCGGAATAGTCGATAAGTTTAGCCCCTTGTAGTTCTTCGTACAGGTACACTATAACTTACCCGAACCCCAAGGGTCCAAGTTCCCAATTATCATATACTCCCCGAAATCCTAACCTACATAACTACTATCCTAAAGCCGAGTACCTAATTACTGGGTCCTTTGGACCCTTGGGGGAAACCTGGTCTACTCAATTTAGCTAACTTTCGGTCCGGGTATTAGCAGGCTCAGGGTTTAGCTTTGGATCGATTTGCTTACTTCGCAAGGCAGGCATAATCAGCACTTCAGGGAGTTCAAAGTCAAATCGAGTACAAACATCCTTGACCGACTTCCAAAAATGCCTCAACCTTCAACGTTAAACCGGACTTTGTAACCTCTCCACGGTCAGGATGCTACTTGCCGAATCTGCCAGGACGAGAGGGCTTTTGAGTTTTGAGAGGGCCCCCCCGCCCACCCCCCCCCCCCCCCCGCCCGCATCCCATCGCCAAACCGCCGGACCCAAAGCCTAATTCATTAAGCCACAAAAACATGCAATTTTGGGTGGCTGCGGGTTGAGAGCTTAGGAATGCAGAGGATTTTGGGGCGGCAGTTTTAATTTTAGTATAATCGGGAGTTGAGGCTTGGGTTTCAGAGCCTGGGGTTTGCCGGTAAAAGCGGCTCAAAAGGTGCGATGCACTTGGGTGGAGGTAATGCCGAATGAATATACGGGAGTTTCCGAAAATTAGGGGTACCTTATTTTGGGGTCCTTATATTAGGGTCCCCTATTTTCGGAAACTCCCATATCAGTCTGTGTGTATGTGTGTGTGTGTGTATACATATGTAAGTATTAGGGGCCTCTTATCCGACCTAGCCTTATTCAAGCTCGAGTTGACGTGCGCAGCCTGTGGTTACGGCTTCGACTTAGCATGGTGTCTATGGTTCTCAGGGTCTAAAGAGTGTTGAAATTTTCAACAAGAAGCCCAGTTTCTGTTTAATATTCCAACGGGGAATGGAATTCAGGGGTTAGGTAACAAGTTAGGTAAAAGCCAATGAAATCATCAACGTCTCAAAGGAAGACCTGCGAACAGCTCCCCCAGCCCAACCTTCCCTGAGCCAAGAGACTCTAAAGGGTTTTGGGCTTACCCCTGAACTTCACAAAGCCTCGCCGGAACTGCGTGCTCGAGGAGGCCACAACCCTAAACCCTACCTTAAACTACCAAACCCTACTTTCTTGTAGGTTCTTATTATAAACCCTAATATGGAGAATATAGGGACCCTACAAAAAAGTAGGTTTTGGGAGGTTAAGGTACAAACCCCAAACCCTCAACCCAAGAAAGCCTCCAGGAAGTCGGTACAGAGCCGCTCGCCGCCTTCTGTGGCTGCAAAGGCGAGAAGTGGAGTTGGTTTCCGGTTTATTTGGGCGCTTGGACCCACGGGTTCCCCGATAAGTTTTCCAAGGCTTAAGCTCTCTAAACTCTAAATCCAAAAACCCTGATACCTAAGCCAAGAACCTTGGCACACCCGCTTGTCGGCTTTGGCAATCATACCATCTACCCGTAGGCTCCGTAGTAGTTTTTTTTCGGCATTACCTTATAGGATTCTACATATGGGTGGTTGTCATAATTATGGTCCCTTTTGGGGGGTCCTTATTATAATACGGCACCTATTATTTAGGGTACCCAAAAAAGGGACCTTAATTTTGACAACTACCCATATTATGAACCCATATGAACCCCAAAAGGAACTACTATGGGGCCTTTTGGTACTAGACCCGCGGCCTTCCTGACTTCTGTTTCTTAGGGGTCCTGGTCCAGGTAGCATTATATGCCACGTAGTACCCCAAGGGTCAAAAGGCCCATAATTGGGTACCCAGTTTTAGCATCGTAGCTATGTAGGTTAGGATTTAAGAGAGTGTATGATTATCAGGTACTTGGACCCTTGAAAGTAGAGTAGGTAACCTTCAGCAGCCTGGCTCAAGGCGTCATGGTTCTGCTTGAGTTCGTTTTTCGAAGCGCGGGTTTCGTGTTTCGTGCTTGATCAACTTGGCCTGTCTACACTTTTGGAAATGTAGTCCTATATAGTCTCTGTATAACCAAAGAGGTTAACCTTTAGTTCCCCATGACACCCGACAAACAGGTATGGGTAGTTCTCTAAATCAGAAGGGCCTTTCAGGGTCCACTTTATAAGGTCTTTATAAGGGTGCCTTACTGTTTTGGGGGCCCATATGATACGGTTGATGATATAAATCCTGCATCACCCATAATAAGGATTATACCATAATTCCCATAGTTTAGGGTCCTTAAGGTAATGCAGGATTTATATCATCAACAGTAGTTCGAGCAGGTTTGCATTTAGGCCGATCTTTTCATCCCTTGCACCCTCTAAGCCCGGAGCCAGAAGCCGCCCCGAAGCATCAAGCCCGAGCCCCCTAAACCCTAAAACCCTAAACTTTGTCCTAGTTGGGTAGCATCTTACATGCTTTTGGGTACTTAAACCCAATAAGGAATAAGAGTGTAAATCTTTAATATAATCCTATCCCAACCATGAACTAGTAAATCCTAAACCCCTAAACCCCTAAACCGCAAACCCCTAAACCCTAAACCTGTAACCCCTAAACCCCTAAAGCCCCAAACCCCCGAACCCGAAGCCGAGGCAGCTTGGCACTTGTTCACGGCTCTTGTCTGGAGCGTTGGAGGCACCGTGGGGCGGGACATGGTTCTTTCAATGAACTGAACCGCTGTTTTCAGTGAACTGCTCAGGGCCTAGGGTAGGGTCCACCGTGGGGCTATCTAGGAGTTCTAAACGGTCCTTTGCGATATGGGAGTTTCCGAAAAAAGGGGACCCTATAATATAGTACCCTAAATAGTAGGATCCTCATTTAAGGACTTCAAATGAAGGCACCCCTGATTCTCGGAAACTCTCATCTAGGAGTTCTAGACGGTCCTTTGCGATGTACGACTTGGGGCGGAGGGCTTAGGTTTAAGAGTTGGGGACCCCTACCCTCTAACGGGCTATGTAATGGGTACATAATAGCTATATTAAGGGTATATACCTATGGGTCCTTATTAAGGGTCCCTCCTTTTACCCTTGGAGAGTCTAAACGTCATGATGAACTCGAATTCCCTGTAGGGTGGGTGTGAAGGTATTCTTCCAAGGTTGTCTGTTTGATACACGATTTTCCAGTATTTCCAAGATGTGATGTAATGGATGTAGGGTGTGGACTGCAGAGTTCAATGTATTTGTGCTTTAACTTTAAGGTTCCTACTTGGATCTACTTGGAGGATCATGGGACTTAGTAAGTAGGGTTTTTAGTACCTTAATTGGGGTTATAAGTAGATTTATAACCATAGTCACCTTACTTACAACCCTACTTACTAAGTCTCATGATCCTCCAGGTATCCCCTAACCCCTATAGATCCCTTTAAGGAACCCTATAGATCCCTTAAATGGACTCTTACCAAGTCCCACGGTCCTCTAAGTACTCTCCACCGGTTCTCTGCTCTGCCAGAGACGTTCCAGAAGAGTGAAGCCCTAAACCCCCAAAGCCCAAAACCCTTAAACCCTAAGCCCAAAACCCTTAAACCCTGCAGCCCAAAACCCTTAAACCCTGAAGCCCTAAAGCCCCAAAGTCTTAAAGCCCTATAAACCCCTAACTAAAGCCCTAAACCCCTAAAGCCCTAAACCCATAAAGCCCTAAACCCCTAAACCCTTAAAGCCCTAAACCCCTAAACCCTAAAAGCCCTCAACCCCTAAACCGTGAAGCCCTAAACCCTAAACCCTAAATCCTAAACTAAACCCCATAGATCCCTATAAGGAACCCTATAGATCCCTTTAAGGGGCCCTAAATCCTAAGTGACGTCCTAAAGTCCATATCCGAAGAGGCAGCTGCAAGGCAGAGGCGATCGCTGTGAACTCTGTGGCCAGCTGTACAGCGTTGGGGAGGACCCTGGGTTTAGGGGTTTAGGGTTTAAGGGTTTTGGGGCTTTAGGGGTTTTGGGGTTTAGGGTTTATATAGGGGTTTAGGGGATTTGGGGTTTAGGGGTTTAGAGCTTTAAGGTTCAGGGTATTGGGTTTGGGGCTCCCAAAAGCCGAGATCCAATCCGTACGTCCCGTGAGCGCTAATTCAGGGTTTAGGGTTGAGGGTTGTACCCTAAGCCCTAAAATGCCAAAGCATCCAAGGTCTATAGTGAACCCCAGACACTTGGAACATGGTGTTAGGGATGCTTAGTGCTAGGATTCCGTATAGTTTAGCTTCAGGGTATGAGGATAATTATGATATTATCCCAACTTTCCGGCTTCTACGCTAAGGAGCTTGGATTTGGTCTTGGGACGGGGCAGTAGGCTTCGCACATTTCTTGCAGCGGACATTGGGGAATCGTCAGAGATTTGGAAGGTCTGACTCTGGGTTGAAGGCTTGAACGGCTTAATACATAAGCTCCAACCATAGGATGCCTAAGGCTCCCTGTTATAATCAACCAGTAGTGTAAGATGCACCAGGCCCTTAATTCAAATTCAGGTCCCCCCATATATTAAGATTGAGGGCTTTGAAAATATTGAAACCCGAAGGTTTTCGCTCGCAAATTCTAAGATGCCGGTGTGTCAGCTTCGCGCCGTACCTCCACCTCCACTCCTCTGTCCATGCATTTTGTTGTCTTCAGTCTGTCGGATGCACAGGTTTAAAGCAAAAGCCAGAAAGTTGGAATATGATTATCCTAAACCCTTTATGGTAAATTATAGGGTCTCCTACCCTGAAACCATATTCCAACTTTCTGGAGTTCCCTTTAAGTATAGGGGATCCCAGTACAGGCCTCGCTCCCCCCCCCGGAACGTCAACTTAGCGAAGACGCATTTGGGGTTTCAGCAGGATCACGGCTTTGCTGCGGCCTCCCTTGCTGACCTCTTGGCTTACCTGTCGAAGCACAAAGACGCGCTGCGCAGCTCAGGCCTCAAGACCGACAAAGACAACCCCTGGCCCTAAACCCCTGCTACCCGAAGCTTTTATAAACTCGAAAGACTGAAACCCTAAACTCCAACAAGACGAAGCCTTAAAGGGATGACGCAGAGAGTGGAAACTGTGGAGCCGTAGTCGTGTGTTTATGGCTTTGGAAGTTTGGGTCTTCCAGGACCCTCCAGGGGCCCTTTAATAGAGGCCTCATGGCCCCTAATAGTGGGTAATTATTTGGGGTGTATTAAAGGGTAGTTGGGGGGTTTAGGTTTGGATTCGAGGTAGGGATATGAGGCTTCACAGAGTGTTGGGGGCTGGCGGTTGGCATGTTCGGGTGTATTACGTCGCTTGATCAAGGGTCAGAGGTCGTAGAAGCGCCCGGGGGCTCGAAACAAACCCTGAACCCCCAGGCGCAGCCCTTAAAACTCGAAGCGTTGGTTTGAGTTTAGCGTTTAGGGTTTAGGGGTTTAGGGTTTAGGGGTTTAGGGTTTAGGGGCCAAGGGTCGAGTTGCCGGGGCCTTGAACCAAGCCAGCCAGCCCGATTTCCCGACGACTAGACAAGATTGCTTAGTAAGTAATGTAGGAGCCTGGTTAAGAAACCCTGGGCCTATAACCCCAAAACAATAGGATTTATATAAGGAACGAAATAAAGGCATAAGGTTTCTTAATCAGGTTCCTACGTTACGGGGCATGAAGGCATCAACCTGGGGATATCTTGAACATCGAATCTCAGTCGACCGTTGGGCCAGAAGCCTTTAATTGCAAAAGAGGAATCTGGGAACGCAGTCTCATGCTCTTGGCTTCCATCCGTGAGCCTGGAACGACAGAAAGCCGTAACTCTGCAAAAAAGCCTTCAACTTTATGAACAGTCTTCAGCTAATTCAGCTTCCACGCGCCAGCCCTGCACGCCCTGCGGCGACTACGCTGCGATCCTGCACTACGCCGACGCAGTGTCGCTGGGCGAGGGTTTGAGGGCTAGCATCTCCTAATTATCCTGACCAAGGCTTGTTGCTGCTACCACGTCCACCATATACTCCACCACTGTTTGGAGCACTACAACAGCAACAACTTGGCGACTACCACGTATGGCTACGGCTACTGGCACGGCTAGTCCCACTCCTACTCGTGCGCCTACTCCTGCTCGCTCCTACGACTACCACCTGCGGGAGTAGGAGCAGTAGCAGGAGCGGGAGTAGGAGTTGTAGTAGGAGTAGCAGTATAGGAGTAGTAGCAGCATTGGCAGTAGCGGAAGCAGCAGCAGCTGCAGTGACGACGAAATATCAAGTAATGACCGTGATGCTCCAAGCAGCAGCAAGAAGCAATGATAACAGTTTGTCAATAGTTACAGCAGCAGTAGGCAGAAAGCAGCAGCAACGGTAATCGCACTATGTTACACTAATGACAGCAGGAGTGCTGGATTAATCTCGAAGACACTAGTACTGCTCTGGCAACCGCTTCTGAAAGCTATCAACCGTACTCCTCGGTGTCAGTGAACACCAAAACTCTACAGCCCTAAACGCTGAAGTAGCAACCCTTATAGAAGCCATTGTAGAACCCTTAAAGTACTCTAGATAGGAACCCCCCAAAAAAGGTCGCCGCTGAAGATTCGAACCTATTTGCCAAGTTGCGAGCTGCGAAGACCTAGGCTTTGCGGTCGTAGAGTTTAGGGATTTATAGCCATCGCATTAAAAGGGATTATATGGTTATGGGGTTTGGGATTGCGTGATTCACGCCATAGCTGAGAATCTAAGTCGGTGTTGGAGTAGGGCTGCAATCGCTCACCCTTGCGATTTGGCTTCCTGCATCCTCAGATCCTCTAGCCTGGGAAACCTAAAACGCTCAAAGCCCCAAAGTGCCCCAAATCGGCGCTTTAATCGAACAGCTCTATAATTCCCAAACATCCTGAAGCCCCAAAAACCCTGAAGCCCCAAACCCCGCTGGAGCACTTGAGCAAAGAGCAGACGGAACCCATTGTCCGATAGGCTCCCTGTATACTAGGACCTAGGGTACGCCCTTATTCCCTTTCTTAGGGTTCAGGTTCCCTTATAAGCCCCTTTAAACCAAAAAGGGCACCCTTTTTATTCTTAGGTTACTCTTGGGTCTAGTATACTTTGTTAGAGTTGGGTCACGCTTTATTGTTTTACGGGTATTTAAGCCCAGCCAGGAATAGACACGTATTTTTGTTAGGATTTCCCCACCCATGAACTATAGGTATAAGCACCATCATCAAGACTTTTTGGCTCTTTGGACCTTGTTTCCTTCGGTGGTGTTTGTTCCATGGGCGGCAAAGCCTAAACCCAACCCCCCGGACGGCGCATGAAATATGATGATTGCCTTCTCATTCTCAGTATAGGGGTTTATGCACTTCTCATTCTCATTATACGGGTTTAGGGTTGAGATTACGATGATGGTCGTCATTGCAATAAAGGGTCCATCTACCCAGATAATATATACATTGGCATTAAAGTGGTCCCTACATAGGTACATTGGGGCAAATGTATATACTATTCAGGGTACATGGGCCCTTAGATGTCTAAATGACAAGCTCATTATCATTGTTACCTATAGTCTCCATTGTAGTTCCTTTTTCTGGCTTAACCAAGTTTCTATTAAGGGTCCTAAAATGGTAAACCCAAAACAGAACTACCCCAAGGGTCCAAAGGACCCAATAATGAGGTCCTCGGCTTTAGGATGGTAGTTATGCAGGTTAGTCGGAGAGTATATGATCTTTGGGTACTTGGACCCTGGGGGCTACAATGGAGACTATAGTCAAAGGGGAAAAGGAGGGGCCCTTAATAAGGACCCTTAGGTATAGACCCTTAACATAGCCATTATATAGCCCATCATATAGCCCATTATAGGGTAGGGGTCCCCATCAAGGGTCCCTCCTTTTCCCCTTTGATATAGGTAAACCACCCTAAACCCTGAACCCCTAAACCCTGAACCCCTAAACCCTGAAGCCTGAATCCCTAAACCCCTAAACCCCTAAACCCTATAAACCCTATAAACCCCTAAACCCCTAAAACCTAAACCCCTAAACCCCTAACCCTAAACCACACGAAGATCCAGGTCGCCTATGGTGGCACCGTGCTCTTAGCTTCTTGGTCGCTACTTGGAGGGCCGGGGGACTTCGTAACTGGTTATTTTAGGGGGACTTGCAAGTACCATAACCCCAATTAGGGTCCCTTTCAGGGTTCTTATAAGTCTACTTACTACCTGCTTACTAAGTCCCCTGACCCTCCAAGTAGACCCTAAACCCTGAACCCTAGAGATCCCTTAAAGGAACCCTATAGATCCCTTTAAGGAGCCTTTTAAGGAGCTCTTTACTAAGTCCCCCGACCCTCCAAGTAGGGCCCTTCTTCACATTCTCCTATGAAGCGACGATTCAGGATCTTCCGGTGTTGTTAACAAAAGCCCTGAGCCCCAAATCCTAAGTCCTGAGCTCCAATTTCGTGCAGCAGATCTGACGTGTTTTCAGGGTTGGAAGTGCTGAAAATGCTCAGACGTCACGGGCCGATTCGGCTTTGCGTTTCAGGATTTCCTTGTGGTTCCTTGTTGTTGCCATCGCGCGGAAATCATGACCCCACCCGTTTTGCAGATGTCCGTTCGTTTCGCAACTTGAGGTTCACAATTTTATGGGATAAGTTGTCGCTTGGTTCGAGGCATTAGCCCCAAACGAAACCGTGACTGGAGGCAAGCCGTCGAAAAACAAGACACAACCCTTCACACTTGCTGTTCAGCGCCAAAATCGGGTTTTGGAAGGGGGCTTAAGCATAGGAGTTTTGAAGAAGAAGCCCCTTGCAATGTTGGTTTCCGTGTCAGGCTACAGGTAGCTGGCTGAGCACTCTAAACCCTAAGACCTAAACCCCTAAACCCAGAACTCCTAAATCCCAAGCCCCGAACTCCTAAAGCCCAAACCTTAAACTCTAAACCCCAAGCCCTAAATTCCAAAGCCCTAAACCCTACACTCTAAACCTCAAACCCTAAACCCCATGAAGCCTGAACAGTCCCTCCCCCCCCCCTCCCACCCCTCTAAGTAAGGGTCCCTATGACCTAAGGAGGCCTTTCCCCCTCTTCCCGTACCCCGTACCCCTCTAACGGTCCCCATGACCTAGAGTCTCCATTGTAGTTCCGAAGTTCCTTTTTCGGGCTACTATAAGGATTTAATATGGGGGCTCTCGTTTCCTGTTGAAGGAAGTCTAGTCCCCTACCCGCCTGCCCCCAAGAACACCTTAACCCAGACGAAGAAGCTACACTTTCAAGGACTTATATAAGGTAATCATAGTAAGAAACCTTAAAAAGGTAGTTTGTTCAGGATTAAGGTAAACCCTAAACCCTTAAACCCTAAACCCCTAAACCCTAAACCCTTAAGGGTCCCCACGAAGACCCAAAGGCTCCAACTTACCTTTATAGTAGAATGTAGGGTTTTTTTAACAGGAATTACTCTTATGGTTTGGGGAAGTATTCCCCAGAACATATACCTTGCATCATAGTGGGGAGCCTACTCTAGTTCAGCTTAGATAACCCTAAACCCTAAAACCCTATATAAACCCTAACCCCTAAACCCTAAACCCTTAGGGGCCCCCATGAATTGAGGTTTGGGCCTGGCTATTGGCTACGCGCTCCTGCGAAGGAGCTCGGCCGCGCTTACACGAGGCCTTTCCCAAAGTGTCTAAACCTCCTTTAAGGGTCCCTGTAAGGGTTTCTATAGCCCTAAATACGGTAGTAGACCTCCTTTCTATAGTCTCCTTAGGAGTTTTTTCTTCAATTTGTGTTCATATAAAACCCAAGATAATATTAGGAATACTATTTTTATTCTGGTTCTAAGGGGGGTATAGCTTTAAGGGTCCCTGTAAGGGTTTCTGGGTTTCTATAGCCCTAAATACTGTAGTAGGATCCTTATTATCAGGACCCCTAATTTTCGGAAGCCCCCATTTGATTTAGGGCTACTGCTAATCTATTGTAAACCTCCTTGAAGGGTCCCTTTCAGCGTTTCTACAGCTTTATCGGGCCGTAGGGTTTGTAAACTGTGTGTCTAGGATGCCCAGTAGTACCCTTATTCCCTTTTTGTAGTCCTAGGTTCCTTATAAAGTTACCCAATACCAAAAAGCGAGGCCTTTTTATTCTTAGGTTACTGGGTATCCTAGGTGTGATATTGAGATTTAGGGATGTGTGCTTGGGGGATTTAGGGTTGAGGGGTTCAGGGTTTGGGGTGTTAGATTGGTGTTTTTGCCTCCAATTCTCTTTTGAGCTGCGCAGCCGGGCGTCGCTGCTTTTCCGCCCAGAAGCATGGCGTGACGTCGCACAGGGCGCATACATGCGAGTGAGTGAGTGAGTTTGGGGTTTGGGCCGAGGGGTTTCAAGAGTTTTGAAGTTAATCGGGGTTAAGTATGTGGGGTCTATCTAGGGTTTATATGGTTTACCGTTACCTCAACCCCGAATAACAAGCCTTTTCAAGGACTTATATAAGGAAATCATAACATGGAACCCTAAATGGCAGGTTCTTTAGGGTCGGTTGGGCCTACTGCTAGGACTTTTGGTTTTAGGGTTTAGTCGGGGCTTAATTAGCCTGGAGGATTTCGTTTGGAGGGCACGGCCCATACAATGGAATCGTCTGTTCTTTTGGGAAAGCTTGAAAGGGTCTTTAGGGTTTTAGGTTTAGAGTTTAGGGTTTAGGGTGTCGGGACCTTCAAAGATGAAACCTCTCCATCTCGAAGAATGCGTCAAGCCGACGGGCTGACGGTCAGGAGGGTCGAAAGAAGGCACTCAGGTTGCTGGGTTTGGAGTACCATACTTGAATACTTTTTTGGTACCTATTCCTTGAAGGAACCATTATGAAATAAACGTCTATCCTTTTTTCTCCATGGTTACTTCAAAGTCCAGGGTTTAGGGCTTAGGGCAAGTGTAGGGTTCCTTGGTAGCTCCTCAAACTTGCTGGGGGGGCCTTCATCTGGAAGGTTTCCAATGGATATGTCAAGAAGTCCACGAGTACTGGAGCCCGAGAGGTCTTGGAGGTTTGGGCTGCTAAATTCCAGCGTGTTTGATCTATTTCGGGGGTTTGCGGACACTGTCGTCAAAGTGAGCACAACATGTAAGGGCTCGAAGGAGGAAGGACTATACAGATGCCCACGTCAGAAGCAATTAAGCTCAACGGATATATACAAACATGTGTATACTTAGGCATGAATACATACACCAACTATCTCAGCGAATTCAACATAAGATTCAGGACAGTACTGCCGCCCTAGCACCCTGAAACCTCTGCGTCGACTATCCACGTCCTTGGCGACACTCTCAGCGCACGCATCGCACTGCGCCTGCCAGTAGATTGTCTCAAGTCCTCAGGCCTTTGAATCCAAGCCCGATTTCACCGCTTTGGGCAGGCCTTCATCCGCTGCACCGGTGATGCCACGCTTTGGGCCTGCAGAAAGCATAGGTTGCTTTTTGCGCTTTCTCGGTTCTAGTTCCAGTAGTAGCACTGAACTAGGCAGCAGGTGGTCGTCGTACTCGTCGTGCTGGCCGTGATGGCCCTAGTAGCCAGAATCGTCGTGCCGATATCCCCAAAATCCCACATCACCAAGCTCTTTCGCCCTCACAATCTTTTGTGTACGATTTTCCAAAGATATCAAAACAGTGGCCTTGGGTTTGGGGCTTAGGGCTTTTTGAGTTTAGGAGGGCCTCGGGGTTGGAACTTCAGGTTCGAGATTAAGACACTGAACTACCCAGGGCCCTTGGGTGGCTACGGGCGGCCGCGGGCGCGGTGGTGATCGGCCTCACGGCGGGGCCTCCGAAGCTTTAGGGCACCTTTCGCGGCTTTGTTCTCAGACTTTTTAAATATACTCTAAACCCTAAACTCAAGGCTTTTGTAGTGCTTTGCAGCAAGACTGGGATTTGTGGTTGTGGCTGTGGCTGTGGTTGTTGTTGTTGTTGGTGGTGGTGGTGGTGGTGGTGGTGGTGGTGACGCCGTCGTGGTGGTGCTGGCGGTGTTGTTGTTGTTGGTTGCTAGTGGACCCTAAACCCTGAAACCCTAAACCCTAAAACCCTAAAACCATAAGACCTAAAACCCTAAACCGTCGGGTTTGTAGTGGGACTTCGCGAGGTTCTCTGCAGGTCTTGCATCGGACCGGGGCTTCTGGGCCCATGTAGGCTTTCAATTTAGGGTATAGGGGGTTTAGGGTTTAGGGGGTTTATAGGGTTTTGGGCCGTTTAGGGTTTAGGGATGTTTAGGGCATCGTTATGACATTAGGGATTCACCGCTCGCATTCTGGATGTAGGCTTTGTTTAGGGGCAGTCTAGGGTCGAGGCTCAGGCCTGCGTCGTTGTTAATGCAAAGTAATATAGGGGGCTAAATTGTTAAATAATTACCTATACTATTTCAATTTGGGGGTGTTCCTTGTTATAACAAGGTACAATGGGCCCCAAACCCCTATTCTAAATATCAAGGCCCCTTTTAGTATCTTGGATGGTATGATGGTAGTGCTTATCGTTGCCACGATCCGGCAATGGCCACCTAAACCGTAAACCTTAAGCATGACGAGGACTTTAAAACCTGTCACTGTTCTGACGGTCTACCCGCTACCCTAAAGGGAACTCCAGAAAGTTGGAATATGGAACATTGGCAGGATCCCCTATAATTTACCATTAAGGGGTTAGGATAATCGTATTCCACCTTTCTGGCTTCTACTGTACCAACATCCTCTAAATCGTCATTACGACAGATTATTGGGTTGGTGCGCTGTTTGTGATGGTGATGTGCAACTTGACGATAGAGTGTGTACTGTGTTGACGGTGTCGACGAAGAAGAAGACGAATAATATCATGATTATCATGGTAATGGTGATGATGATGATCATGGTCCACAAAATGCCATGATACTTGGAAAGCTCAAACTCTGCACGATAAGCCGAAGCTCGAGTGCCTCGACACAACCGTCGTCGTACTTCTTTGGCTTCCCCTCTGAGCTTACGTAAAGTTCTCCGATGCAGGGTCAAAACAATTATGATGATCATCCATGTTCTTGTCACTGTAGTGGAACCGTGATGATTGGCTACTGTCACTACACTACGTCATCTATAGGTCTATAACTTTATTTGAGATGGTTCCTCCTTTCTAGTAGCCAAAAAACCTGTGACATCCGTATTTTGGGGTCCTTACAATGAGGATCCAAAATAAAATTTAGGGTGCTATATTAGGTTCCCCTATTCTCGGAAACTCCCCTATGGATTTCTTGAGAGGGATGCCTGAACCCTAAACTCAGACCCCGAACCAGAGCCCGGTCCTACACCGAAAAAGGCGCCGGAACCCCAAACTTGAAGACCGAGACCGTGACTATAGGGGCCTAAGGTAAAAGCCAGAAAGTTGGAATCTGGTTTCAGGGCAGGATACCTTATAGTTTACCATAAAGGGTTTAGGATAATCATATTCCAACTTTCTGGCTTTTACTGTAAGCCCCAAGAGTCCAAAGGACCCCATAATTAGGTACTCGGTTTTAGGCGAGTTCTTCTGCAGGATAGGTTTTTGGAGAGTATATGATTATTAGGTACTTGACTTGGACCCTTAGGGAAATAATTACTAATACTAGGTAGGCCTTTTGGACATTTTATATTTTCCCTTATTGGGCTTAATAGGACCCTATTTACGAATATGTTTCAGAGGCTTTAAAGGGCCAACCTAGAATACTGTTGTGGGGGCTTTCTTACAATCATGGCATAATGCACCCCGAAACCTATCATTATTAAGGCCCCTAAATCCTTAGAATCGTCCTCATAGTAACCCTTACAGACCCCTTTAAAAGAACCCTATTCCAATTATTCAGGCCCTTACATTGCAGCCGCAGAACCCTAAACCCTAAACCCGTTTATAGATTCAAAGGAGCCCAAAACCCTGTTCTAATCGCCCAAAATCCCTAAATCCTAAAACCCTATTCTAACTACCCCAAAACCTAAACCCTAATACTCCAAAAAACCTAAACCCTAAACCCTATTCTAATTACCCAAAAAGCCTTAAACCCTATTCGAATTTCCCAAAAACCCTAGACCCTAAACCCTATTCTAGTTTACCCAGAAACCCTAAACCCCAAACCCCATTCTAAAATCCACAACATGACGACCGACAGGGGCGCCTGCTGCTCTTCGGCGCGGAGTGCTTTCCCAGAACAGCACCGCCGTAGCCGGAAAAATAACTGTGTCTCCGGGCGTGAAGCTGAAGGGGTTTAGGGGTTTAGGGTTGAGAGTTTAGGGCTTAGGGGTTTAGGATCTAGGGTTTAGGGTTTTTTGCGCTGAAGCATCAAGAAAAGCCCACTGGGATGATGCAGGTTTCGGATTTAGATCTTTCTATGGTAAGCTGACAGGAAGTGGAGTCCGCCTTCGTCCTCCACTCTCGGCGCAGTACTACGCTGTCTGCCGCCACAGCCGCCCAGGCAATGAGAGAGAACGTGTCCTTTTGGTTAGGGGTTCTAGAGTTCAGGTTTAGGGTTTTGGGCTTTTCCGTTGGGTGTTGAAGTTCAGGGTTAAGCGGTTTGGCCGTTTGGGGTGTAGGGGTTCAGCGACGAGAGTTGAGGGCTCTTGTATGTAATGTATCACTTAGAATCCACCCCGAACTCGCTGAGGTTCAGCAGCCCCAAGCCCGAAGAGCCGTCATCTGACATACCCTCCTAGCAATGGAGGAGGTAACCTTTACTAACCTCTCTGGGGCACAAGAAACCCCATGAAACCCAAAGCTTAGCCTTTAGTTCCCTGGACGACTAGCCATGATCTCCCTGAAATCCCAAAAAAGAGAATTTCCAACACGCAAGACACCCAGCACCCGCCCGATCCCGGCCCTACAGATTGAATCTCAAACTTCATCCTGGTCGCTGAAGTGAGCCTGATCTAGGGGTGTCTATGGTGTGGCTTCCTTGACCCTCATAGTGTATATGCATGAGTCGTCAGCGAGTGCTTCAACTCGTAGTTTATAGGATCGTTTATCTAAGCACCCCTCTCGAAAGGGTTTAGGGTTTAGGGTGTATATAGGGTTTAGGGTTTATACAGTACACCTCACTCCCAGTTATCAAAGGCTGATTCATCTTTGCCAGGCGCTGACGCACCTTCGCCTCTGCCCGATGAGGAGGGAGGCCCGGTCCACGAACACAAACTTGGCTTGGGGGGCATTCTAAACCCTACCTCTAGTCTCCATTGTAGTTCCTTTTTCGGGTTTCCTTTTAGGGTCCTGAATATAAAACTGGTGAAGCCATAAAAAGGAGCTACAATGGAAACTATAGGTAAACCCTGAGGATAGTGAGCATGTGGATGCTGAAGTGCATCCTTTTGAAGAGATGAGGCAGCGACCCGTGTTCGTGCGGAACAAGGTCAGTGCACTTTATTCAGCAACCTGAACCCAAACACCCTAAACCCCAAAGCCCTATGACCTAAACGTGGGATTCATGTCCGGGTTTCTCATGGTTCTGGGGCTTGATGAGTCGCACGCCCTCCAAACTCAGAATCTGGAGTAGCTGCTAAAGCCAAATCCTTGCAGTATCAACCCTTACACCATCCCTAAACCCTAAACCCTAAACCCTAAACCCTAAACTAACAGCCCACCAAAGATGCAGGTCGGATTAGCCCTCAACCCTAAGCTCTAATCCCGTGCACCCCCCATCATCCCTACATAGCCGTTACCAAAAATGTGCGTGTCTGTATCTGTGTTCATACATACATACATACATATATATATATATATGTATCTATATATATATATATATATATATTCCCCTTAAATTAAGCTCTGAGCTTCCAAACAGGACCAAGGAGAGCTGATGTCCCTGCTGATGGAGGCCACTTGAGGGCTTCAGGGGATTTAGGGCGGGTTTAGGGTTTAGGGTTGAGGGTTTAGGGTAGAAGCCCAAAAGTTGGAAACCCCACGGCTTCAATCCTGAAGAGGAATGTATAGGGAATCCCAGCATTTGGCTTTAATCCGGTTTCCAGCTTTATGGGGTTTGCCATAGGGGTTTAGGGTGCTGAGAGTCTAGGATTCATTTAGGGTTGAGGGCTTAGGGTTTAGGGGGGAGCCTTTGATACCCAGAGACACCAATATGGGAGTTTCCGAAAGTAGGGCTGCCTTATGTTGGGTCCCTAAAATAAGGACCCTACTATTTAGGGTAGGGAAGCCCCATATAGAAACATGAATTCGTAGTACCATTTCGGTGTTCCTTATGGCGACCGTAATGAAGAAAATATCCCCCACCCCCGACCTAATTGCAATTCTGAACGAGGCCGAATGAGGCCCCGATATTGGCTTTTGGCACCAAAATGTTTCAAGTTTAAACCTAGACCCTAAACCCCTAAACCGTGGAGGGCTGCACCCCAAATAATTAGGGTGCAGCATTTTGCAGTTGGGAGGATGGCTCAGGCTTGATGTGGCTCATAGGGTTTGAGGGTCTGGGGTGCGGGTTTGGCGGTTCCAGGGTCGCGGGATTTGGGTTTAGGGATTAAGGGTTTTGGTGTTTAGGGTTCAGGGTTTAGGGTTTATAGGGCTTAGGTTTAGGGTAGAGGGGTTTAGATTTCAGGGTTCAGGGGTGTACGGTTTAGGGTTTAGGGTGTCGGGGTTGGGGAATTTGGCCTTGGGGCTGTCTTCGCACTCTCGGACTAAGCCTACCCCGGAGCAGCATTAAGACTCAGACCCTCAGTCTCTGTCTCTGTCGCTCTCCTTGTCTCTCTCTATCCCTAAACCCTAAACCCTAAACCCTATACCCTAAACCCTAAAGCCCTAAACCCTAAAGCCCTAAACCCTAAACCCTAAACCCTAAACCCTCTCTCTGTCTCAATCTCTCCGGGCTTTGGGTTTCTGGGTTGGGTTTGCTGCAGGGGGTGGTCCGGGCCTGTTTCGTTCAGGGTGAGGTTCAGGGTCTTTCCTTCGGAGGGTTTAGGGTTTAGGGGTTTAGGGTTTAGGGGTTTAGGGGTTTAGGGTTTAGGGGTTTAGGGTTTAGGGTTTTGAGGTGTTGTGGGGTAAGGTCTTGTCTGGTGTTGGGTTCTCTCTTCTCTCTTTTCTCTTCGCTCTTCTCTGTCTCTCTCTCTCTCTCTCTGCGTCTCTCCTTTTCCCGCTTGCTACAGACACTTAAGCGGTCTGGTTCATACAATCTTGTTTTTGGTCTTTTAGAGAGCTCTGGACTAGACAGTTAATCTTTCGAGTGTAGTATCGTTCGTGGGGTTTTAAGGGGTTCGGCATTAGGGTTTAGCAGCGCTGGGGGTTAGGGTTTAATTATCCACCCAATCAGAACCCATCTAGACCTTTCCCCTCAAAGTTCGGCTTCAAAGCATCCACTTATCAATGGTATATCTTGCCGAGCAAGTGCCGCTTGCGCAACCCAAATCCTAAGTGTGCAGGGGTTCAGGAAACCCTTGTACAAAGCTCATCAGGATACTGCAGATCTTTGCAACGCCTTGTTACGCTTCCTGGAACAACTCACAGCCCCCTCCCCCCCCGCACAAACCACAGAAAATCGAACAGACAGTCGAAAATCATAAATCCTAAACTTTAGCCCCAAACCCTGTGTCATAATTAATTCAAACCTCTTAATCCTAAACCCCGAATGCACTGTCCTTATACAAGTATTGTAGTACCTTCTAGTAACCCTTAAAAGGACCCGCGCCTTTGTTGTAACCCCTTTAAAGGAACCGTTATATGGGAGTTTCCAAAAATAGGGGACCCTAACATAGCACCCTAAATAGTATAGGATCCTTATTATAGGGACCCCCAAATAAGGTACCTATATTTTTCGGAAACTCTAGACCCTAAACCCTTTTATAGAACCCTTATAGATCCCTTTACAGGAACCCTTAAAGGACCCCAAAATAAGGTACCCATAATTTTCGGAAACTCCCCTTTGGGCTATCTAGCAGCTCCAAGGCGGCTGGGCTGACTCGCCACGGAAGGATCAGCCTCCAAGCCTTCCAGGCCTGGGTTTGCGGAACTTTCAGGTCGGCCTCATCCCTACGGAGCCCTTTAAAGGGATCCCTAAACCCTAAACCCTTAAAGGACCCCACTTATATCCAAGGGTAAAAGGAGGGACGCCTTATAAGGACCCCTAGGTTTATACCCTTAATAACCATTATATATATAGGGTGGGGGGTCCCCAGTATAAGGGTCCCTCCTTTTCCCAAATGAGTCTTGAAGTCCAAGGGCCTGCTGTCTCAGCGGAAATGTTGGGTAGTATAGGGGCCCTATATAATTACCAATACGATTTAGGGGCTTCCTTGTTATGGTAAAAGTATACTATACCCCAAAACCCTATTCTAACTATTGAGGCCCCTATATTACCTTCAACTACCAAACGCGACCTCCTTGTTGGCAGGTATCAGTGTATGTGAATATTCATCTTCCACAAAAGTTGGTTATGGCAGTTTAATGTAGGGGTTCCCGCGGTTAAGGGTTTTGTACAGGGTTTACGGTTGAGGGATATGAGTATGGGTTTAAGATGTTTTAGAATTCTAGGATAGTCTAGGCTTATGCATAGGTATGAAGGTTTAAGGTCATGAGCAGACTTAAGTTATCTCGCTGCAATCGGTTGACATACCCTCCAGCAACAGCAGCCTTCAGCAGCTCATGCGAATCCCAAGGCCGTGAGTGTTTAATCTGGATGACATCAAACCAAACACTGACAAGCTCCACATACAAGGGATGCTGGTGCACTACTTTTGCTAGATTCAGGATCTGGTCATGGTTGCTGTGCCTACAGCCCGGATCCCCGGATGTGGACTACGTCGACATGTTTCTCTTCGAGGAAGACATCTTACCCAAAGCGAGAAGACCTTGCCGCACAAACTCCATCGTATCGCCCACCAAACAAGTCGTGCTAAGGTTATCATATCTACTACAATTGCTAGAATTTAGAATGGGTCATCTGTAATTGTTTATCTATCTGCCTAACCTAACCTAAGTCAGACCCAGTCATAAAGTCTTTAACAGGGCTTTCTTGGATTCTTGCTGAGGTTATGGTATGTTAAGGTGGGGTTGAGTACCGGCTTGAGATGGTATAATGGGCCCCAAAACCCTATTCTAATTATTTGGGCCCCTAAACTAAATCCTTATAGTCTTATAGGCCCCTTGAAAGGAACCCTTTAAAGGAACCCTACTCTTATCATTAAGGGCTTAAGGTCCTGAAGATGGACAGGTCCTATGCATCCAGGCCCGGGA